CAGATATTAAACTGATAAGAACAGATACTACACTTGATCTTAGCCAAAAGGCCGAGAAGCGATAACTAAAACTTGTCGGTGGTGGGGTACACATACCCACAGAGGCTCTCTATACGCTATGGGGTCATACAATGATTATCACAAATAAGCTATAATCACATGTAACACTATATACGCTGAACATGGAAACATTGTAAATACCTTTAAATTTAATAACACAAAGTCACAGATCGTGTGTTTGTATCGAAAATATAACATTGTTAGAATATCACGCATTGACTTATGGGAGTGACGTCACCGGATCTTCCCTACAATATGGGCCGTACCATAAGGAATACAAAACGGCTGTTTCACTTTCTCACTCGTGATGTTTTAAACAGCTTTATATTTAAATTCGAATATCTGCTGTTTGTACCGTATATAAACATAGCTAATTATTCGCATCCCAACAGACGCTCGTGGTGTTTCGGTCATACCGTCTTTCACCGAGGCGGTATGACCGACATGACAGCCGGGTGCGGCGATCGCGTGCCCGGCCCGGCGTCTAGACCAGGCCGAGGCTTCGGCCTGGTCTAGACGCCGGGTTCCCAAACGCAACGAGGAGAATGAACTCCACCAAGAGGCGATGCAGAGGTCGCAAACGGGTTTAGATTCCTTACCCGGACCCGGCAGCACCAGGGTCGCAAACGGGTACCCGGCCGTACCCTACCCGGCCGGGTACGGGTAGGGTACGGGTATCGGGTACCCGATTGCGACCTCTGGGATGAAGCCATGTTGCAGGCGCGGGTGGGTTGATTCTAGGAACTTGAATTGTGAGAAGAGACAAGACGTTGGGAAATGAGTGACAAACAGTTACACACCAATGACTCACGGCCTACCCGTACCCGGCCGCACCAGGGTCACAAACAGGTACCCGTACCCGGGTACGGGTAGCCGGGCATCGGGTAGGGTACGGGTATCCGGTTGCGACCTCTGAGGTTATGTGGAACTCTGGCAACCCGCACACAGTGTGGCTCTACGAGTCTCGGTGACTACGAAATATAGGATCCCATATAGACCACAGAGTGGCTACTGTGACTCTGGAATATGATCCCATATATACCAGCTCTGTCCACGGCACAGAGCGATTTCCACTCTTCAGCTACAACGAACGCTGGTGGCGAACTCCACAGTGTGAGCCTTGTGCTACACCGACATTTACAATCGATATAAACTAGAGTGCGGCTCTATGGGGCCGTCCATAAATGACGTCACGCACCTAGGGGGTGGGGGAGGGTCAGACATTTGTGACGATGTGTGACGAGGGGGGGGGGGGGGTGAGAATTGTGACGTCACATAAAAATGCGCAACTTTGAATAAATATAGACAACACGTTCTACTTAATTAAATATACTTTTAAGTAAATGTTTTCTCCTACAACATCAGAGTGCAGCGCCACATTAAATACGCACTACAATGACAATAGTTTAAAACGATTTGAAGCATGTTTTATTTTGGGGGGGGGCAGAGCTTTGTGACGTCATATTTGAGGGGGGGGGTCTGACTTTTTGTGACGCCGTGTGACTAGGGGGGGGGGGGGGGGGGGGTCAAAAATCGTCCAAAATTGCGTGACGTCATTTATGGACTGCCCCTATGAACCTCGGTAACTCAGAAATATGGGTCTTGGTCAAACGAAATATGGGATCCTATGACACTATTTGGGAAAACTAATTTCTTTAGAACTGTTTTTTGTGTTTCGTTTGTTGTCCTTCCCTCGCACCTCCGATTCGCACGCTTGTCCACGTAGGGTGCGAAATAGTTTGACATACATATATACATCTTGAATTGGCATACATACAAGGGAGGAATGCTGGTTGATAGGCAGCTAAAACAGGCAGACAGGGTTGGCAGGTAGAGACACCACCCAGCTTAAAATACGCTGCCAAGCTTAGCAGTGTTCATTAGGACGCTGTCTTTCCGACAGCTCTATTCTTCACCTGGGGACGACTGCTTGTGTTGTGGCCGAAACGTCGTGAGAATTTTATGTTTTATTTTTATTATTTTATTATTTCCCTTCTACGCGACTTTACCGAGAGATTCAAGAATATGAATCCCTGCAGTCACGAAAGCTTTACATCGAAATTTAGGCAGAGACAGGTTTCCAGAGAGGGCAGATATGCAGAGTTGGCAGGCAGGACAGACAGGCAAACACATTCGAGGTTGGCATACATTCTGTACTTTCCGACATTTGTTCGAACCATTGGGCGAATATTTGTTCAACGTTCCATGTTTACTGGGGCAGTCAACAGGATGAGGCAGCAACCACCACGCTCATAACTGCAACATAAAGGGGCATCGATCATCCCACACTAAGACAGCATCTTCAATCCCAGGCCACGCAAGTGACGAGCCGCAATGACAAAAAATTACATAAAAACATTAGAAGCTATGGAAACAATACTGTACAGAGTTTAACACGTACGCTTTCGTGACCAATATCATCCATAATAGATGTTTTTGGGTTAGATCGTGTAAATATATAAATGTGTCGTTAAAACCCGCCACCACCCGACACAGCCAACTAGTAAGTGTGGGGGCCGTTGGCCCCCGGGGTCCCTCCCGCCTGCATCCCCTATTCCGTTTACGTTACCCCACCTCCCTATTACCCGCTACGGTTTCGCCGGCATTCGAATGCGACGCCCCTACTGTTACGGCCTCGCGCCGCGCTCCCACGCTGCGAGCATACGTGCGCACATCCTCGTCAATCAAACGCCGTGCTCGCAGTATAGCCCTGTGCGGCACGTTACCAATGCGCATCCGTATCCGACATGTAACGAACGTATGCACACACACACACACGCCGCTCCGTGCACTCCAACTCCACACCAACTACGCAAGTTATGATCGCGCACCTGTATCACACACGGAGTGAACACACGCGACACCCACTCTTGCGCCGCTCTGCGCAGCGCTCGCCGTCTGCTGGCCGCTTGCGTTATGATCGCGCACCTGGGGTACGCCTATTACGCACGCCGCGAGCTTACGCACACACAGTACCACACGCGTTCCCACACGCAACCCGCGCGCTCAGCTCCGCGCAGCGCTCACTCACGTGGCGAACCACGGTGCACACAGCGCACCCACACGCTCACACCGCACGACAAGATCACGCGAGACCACGCTTCGCTATTAATGATTTATTATATGCTACCTGCGAATTGATGTGTAATCAGTGAGTCGACGAGGCTGGCCTATTCCACTAAACCTGTACTTATTCCCTATTTATCGGCTTACGATACCCTACTTCACCTCCCCACTCACTGTTTGGTGCCCGCGGAGGTTCGCTGCTCTCTGCGCTAACAGCCTACCTCGATGCGTCGCACGGACGTCCGGGTCGCTGGCTGGAACTCCTGCTGGTCCGCTGGCCTGGAGAGAAGGGAGCTATTTCCCCTCTGCGCTCCTCTATTTATCCTCCCTACCTCCCAAAGGGGATGCTGCGCTGAACAATGGGCTCGTGCACCCCAAGCCCGCGCACGGCAGTCCCCAGGCGCTGTTGATATGCTAATCAGTGTGCTGCGTGCAAGGCGTAAATCCTAATTACTCCCTTACCCTTCCTACCAATGGGGCTTGCGCGCTCAAGCGCAATTATCCCAACCCTCCATGACTATGCGCAACAGCCCCTGTGACCCCGCTATTCATGCTGTCCCGTGCCTCCCCTGCTTGCCCCGTCGACTCGTGGGGGTGTGTGTGGGGGGAAATGCGCCTCAACCGCGGTGGCCGAATGCCCCACGCCGCGACCTACCATATTAAGGCCGGCAGCAGCGCCGCGGTACCACGTAGCACGGGGGAGGTCATCCAATTCCCTGATCGCCGGAAACCGTGAGAATTAATCCCGATAAGGGTCTCTCGGATAAAAACCGGTCGATCAGGTAACCTTCCCTTCCAGCTCTATGGGGGGGGGGGGGGGGGGGGGGGGATGCGTGCGGGTGTGTGCTTATGTGGGGCGGGTGATTGGGGGCAGTGCGGTGGGGGAAGCCGGGCGGCTCCCTGGCTCGGCAGAGCGGCCCCGTCGCTGTGGCACCACATAAGGGTTGTCACGTAAACAGAACTTGGCCAATTCGTCACTAGTACAGCACTAGTGTGTAGTGTAGTGTATAGTAGTGTAGTGTATAGAGTAGTGTAGTGTATCGTAGTGTAGTGTATAGTGTAGTGTACTAGTACAGCACTAACCGCTGTGTTGGAGAGCCAAGCCACAACTTTTACAATCTGAGTACGACGTTTCGCCAGTAAGGGGCCGTCCATAAATGACGTCACGCGATTTTGGACGATTTTTGACCCCCCCCCCCTTCATCACACGGCGTCACAAAAAGTTTGACCCCCCCACAAATATGACGTCACAAAGCTCTGCCCCCCCCCAAAAAACATATTTCCATTTTTAAAATAAAACATGCTTCAAATCGCTTTAAACTATTGCCATTGTAGTGCGTATTTAATGTAGCGCTGCACTCTGATGTTGTAATTAAGTAGAACGTGTTGTGTATATTGATTTAAAGTTGCGCATTTTTATGTGACGTCACATTTATCAAACCCCCCCCCCTCGTCACACATCGTCACAAATATCTGACCCCCCCGCCCCCCTAGGTGCGTGACGTCATTTATGGACGGCCCCTGAGCTCATACCGGCTACACGCGGCACGGCTCGATTCGGCTTGGCACGGCACGGTTCGATTCGGCTTGGCACGGCACGGCTCGATTCGGCTTGGCACGGCACGGCTCGATTCGGCTTGGCACGGCACGGTTCGATTCGGCTTGGCACGGCTCGGCTTGGCACGGCACGGCTCGATTTGGCTTGGCACGGCACGGCTCGATTCGGCTTGGCACGGCTGGATTCTGCTTGGCACGGCACTGTTCGAATCGGCTTGGCACGGCACTGTTCGAATCGGCTTGGCACGGCACGGCTCGCTTGGCACGGCACGGCTCGATTCTGCTCGGCACGGCACGGCTCGCTTCCCCGGGGTCGTGGAGACGCCGCTTGCGTCGCGAAGGGAAACCCCCCGTCATCTGGCACCGCGCGCCTCGCCACGGTCGCCTCGGCACGGCCTGGCTCCCCGCCGCTTGGACAAAATGCTGCTGAGCCGCGACACGAGTGCGTGGAGCGGCGAGGAGGAGGTGGAGAAGCCGAGAGAAGGCAAGCAGCAGCAGGAGGAGGAGGATGCGAGGTGAGGAGAGGGAGGCGGTACGCGTCGGGCTCACAGCCCGGTGCGGCGGTCGCGTGCCCGGCCCGGTGTTTAGACCAGGCCGAGGCTTCGGCCTAGTCTTGAGCCGAACATTGACTCGGAGCGAAATGTAACGAGAAGTGATGGGGAACTCTGGCAACCCATAGTGTGGCCCTACGAGCCTCGGTGACTCCGATATATAGGATCCCATATAAACTACAGAGTGGCTCATTGAGCCTCGATGACTCTAGAATATAGGATCCCATATACACCACAGTCGCTCATTGAGCCTCGGTGACTCCGATATATAGGATCCCATATAAACTACAGAGTGGCTCATTGAGCCACCGTGACTCCGGAATATAGGATCCCATATAAACCACAGAGTGGCTCATTGAGCCACCGTGACTCCGGAATATAGGATCCCATATAAACCACAGAGTGACTCAATGAGCCTCAGTTACTCCGATATATAGGATCCCATATAAACCACAGAGTGACTCAATGAGCCGCTGTGACTCTGGGATGTTGAATGCTTGGGATCGCCACCGAGTACCAGACACGTACTCGCACACATTTAAAATCTAAGACGTATACAGAACGATAAGAAATCTGCACATCCGAAGTTGTTTTTAGTGGCGTGTAGTACAGTATTTCACTTCCTCTGATTCAGGGAATTTTGATTTAGTGTCCTGGTTTCATGAAATGAGTGGTTATGTTGTCTATTTTGATTATGTTGTTTGTCTTGGTTTTACTGTTTCGTTCCATCTCGTGTGTACACATTCGACTCTTCCTTTATCCTAAGTGCAACGTTAGCCCAACAGTTTTCACCAACTTAAAGTAATTACTGCGAGCGAACGATTTGATACATGTACGTACGTGGGTGGAGCATAAAAATACATTTCAATTCATGAATAGTTGCATCATTACGTAACTATAATCTAGGGCAATAACATTTAACCTGATGTGCCCGAGTCTGGGACATGAACACGAAACGGACCATAAACTCTTTATGGGTGTTTTTATATGTGGTATGGTCTTTGAGCCTTGTACTTTTGAACATCATAGGGATGTAAACACGAACCATGCAAATCTACGTCCCAGCACTTGTAAACAGTGGTATAACACATCTTGGACGTGAAATGTAAACACTTCTCTGCTTTTAATGTCACCATTATTTAAAGTCCTACGATTCATAACCAAATGGAAAGGGTAATTTAATCATATGAAGCTAAATGGTAATCTGGAAATGACTAAGAATATCAAACAACTGAGTATTGTTGGCATTAGCCAAGCCCCTGAGTGTATTAGTGGGGATTGCATATTATGATATTCCCACAGGCAGACCTTGCAGCAGTGAGCACTGGTCACTATACAGACAGTCCTCTACTTACGATGGAGATGCGTTACGACGACCCCATCGTAAGTCAAAAATATTGTAAGTCGAAGATGGCCTAGCCTACCCAGGAGTCTTAAAGAATGGTGATAATTTAGCAAAACAGAGCAATTTACAGTACCGTATTGTATAAACTATATACGTTATTTTTCGATTTAAAGCTTTCGTGACTGCAGGGATTAATCTTCTTGGTTCTTTCGGTAAAGTCACGTAGAAGGAAAATAATAAAATAATGAAAATAAAACATTAAATAATAAAATAATAAAAATAAAACATTAAATAATTCTCACGACGTTTCGGCCACAACACAAGCAGCCGTCTTCAGGTGGAGAACAGGTCTGTCGAGAAGGCAGACTCTTACGTTGTGGCCGAAACGTCGTGAGAATTATTGAATTATGTTTTATTTTTATTATTTTATTATTTTCCTTCTACGTGACTTTACCGAAAGAACCAAGAAGATATATACGTTATGTATTTATTAATTACAATATTGTATTGTACAGTAATATGTAAAGTAAAAAAACAAGGTAAATTCTTAGCCTACTTATATTAACTTCAATTTAATCGAACGTTTTTTCAGGAAACAATCCTATCTGCTATAAACACTTTTAACATGCATTGAACGTATCGTATTGTGGTAATCCCTAAAATTAAGTCGCTAGAGCTACGTATCATACATGCATTGAACGTATCGTAACGTATCATATTGTACTGTACTCGCCAAGATTCTGTCCGTCGTCTGCATACTTGCGTTTGCCTGCAGCGCGAAATTTATAATATTTTACAATTTTGTCGTATCGCTATCGTAAGATTGAAATATCGTAAGGCGGACCATCGTAACTCGGGTACTATCTGTATACTGTTTCGTATTGATTAGTTATAAAATGAATGAAATCGGTCTGCAGACTTTCAGTCGGGAAGCATTTGCTCAGATTTATTTTGATGGTGCCCGTAGACAAGGGTGACCACAATGCAATTCTTCAGGAACTGCTGATAACAGACAAACACCGAGTGCTTTTTGTATGCATTTTTGCATGTTTTTTGTTACCTTTTTGGTGGTTCAGCAGATAAGACATTCCCAACAAAGTAAAAACCACTGCCCATGAAAGAGTACAATTTGTAATGTACATGAGTCAGCAACCAAAATAACTAGAGATATTTTCTTTCATTTCGGTAAAAAAAAACTCCTGTTCTCTATAATTCTAGTTGTATACTTTTTAAAAATAAAAATGGAAGGTTCTCCAGACATCTAAACAGGCTCTCATTTCATGATGTGTTCATTGCATCAGCCATTCATGCTTGTTGACTCCCTGCCCTGTTCAATTCTAGGCTCGAAACCTTCCTTTTGTTCCTGTGCCTATGATGCAGACTTGCGTTGTCACAATTAATGCAGCGCAGAGCAATGCACGAGTTGTGTGCTAAGCGCAACGCAGCATGCTCCCTGTGCGTGCGTAAACCGTGGCGCGTGTGTGCATGTATGAACATATGTACGTGTGTGCTCGCTGGATTCAGCCAGGAGCGCTGGCAGCTGCTGAGCCGGTTGAAGTCGACGGTGGAGGTGCTCGTGGGCGTAGGCCGTGCCGGCGTGTGGACGTGCTACGGCGGGCTGGAGCACCTCACGGCAGCCATGCACGCCATCCTCGAGCACGGCCTGCATGCCGCAAAGGTGGGGACATTTGCCGAGGGCTGAGTCCTGGCCTCAAGGTGGAGAGACGTGGAGAGACGTGGAGAGACGTGGAGAGACGTGGAGAGACGTGGAGAGACGTGGAGAGACGTGGAGAGACATGGAGAGGAGTCACTGAGATGCACTTCCTTCGTTTCTACCCTACACGTGGTTTTAGTGAACATGTGCTATAGCTGAGCATCACCTTTTAACAAAACATATTGAGTGAAATTACCTACTCTTTGGTTCTTTCGGTAAAGTCACGTAGGTATAAAATAAAATAAATTTAATCACGAGGTTTCGGGCGCAACACAAGCGTCTGTCATCAGGTGGGACATCCACAGCAAGAAACAATTGCTGAAGTGGGCAAAACTTCAAATCTAGATTGAAATTACCTGTCGAGCACCTGTTCATTTGTTGACATATAGTGGCATATGATAATATTTTGTAAAGAGTATTTTAATATTTATGTCAAAAACTAAAAACAGATTCTATTCTTGTAAATGCCAATACGTCCAAGAGCCTGAATGCCATTGTCAAAGTCTTCTAGCCATGGGAAGCCTTCAGGAAAAAAATTGTGTAGTTTGGCAATTCTTCCTTTGAGGCGGTGCAGACTACAGTGATTCATATGGATGGCAGATGTAATTTGTCTCATGGTGGCTCCCCTGTTACATGTTTTTGTGTCTCCTTAAACACAACTTACCAGAGTGGAACAAAGCGGACGTCCAAAATAAACACCTAATTTGAGACCCAAGCATCGTATCTTCTGGCTCTGACATTCCTCGAAGACACTGATAGAACTATTTACCATACCAGACACCAACAGATTAATGCGCACATCTCCTTTATGAATGAAACATTAAAGACAGGCCACAGTAGTATGGCTGGCCATGCAACCCAAACTGTTGAACGTATAGTAAACCACTGTCGCCTGCGGTCCTTCAATGGAGGAGAAATAGCAAAACGATACGAACCCTCTCACCTGAAGCCCTCTCGTCGTGGCTGGCAAAACTCGACGTCGGCATTTAGCTTCCGAACATTGCCATGCGCGCAAGAATAGAATCTAGGGGAAATGGATGTCACTGAGTTGAACAAAACAGATGAACAGAATGCATACCGATGTGACTCATTTATGAAAATACCTCTCTTACGGGTGAGGCTTAAAGCAGCTGAAGGTGTAACAAAGGCCGGTTTTTGTGCTCGTGTCGTTTGTGCTCTTTAGTGTCAGCCCTCATCCGATGTGCAGTACTGGCCGTTCATCTTGAGCCTGCAAAGCGTGGCACCCCAAGTGTGTCCCTGCATCGTCCAGGACTCTGCAATCGTGAGTTAAACCTTTCCGGCATCCTCTGCATTGTAACAATGTTAACTTTCGATTTAAAGCTTTCGTGACTGCAGGGATTCATCTTCTTGGTTCTTTCGGTAAAGTCACGTAGAAGGGAAATAATAAAATAATAAAAATAAAACATAATAAAATAATTCTCATGACGTTTCGGCCACAACGCAAGCAGCCGTCCTCAGGTGAAGAACAGGTCTGTCGGAAAGACAGCGTCTGAATGAACACCACCAGGCTTGGCAGCGTATATATGTTAACTTGCGATGCGTCGCCGCAGTGTTCGCTCTCACTCACTCTCGCAAGAGAGAGAGAGAGAGGACAACGCAGAGGCACGAGGAGGAGTAACAGATACCGTAGGAAAAGCGGACAAGCGGTGAGCCAGTGCCAATTCCCCCCCACCCTCCCCTCAAGCTCTGCAGTCCTCTATATATATAAAAGGTGTTATTGGCTAATTAACTCTTTCCTATTCCAATGACGTGTGTGTACGTCACCCAGTTTTCTTCCAATTCCGTTCCGATGGCGTACACGTACGTACACCTCCTTCATCACGAATTCGGAAGAAAAGCTAAAATTAAATAACTTTGTCGGTTCCGAGGCTCCCACAAGCACATGCGGGAGGGTGTGCTATATGCAAATCTACAGTGGTACCTCGGTATACGCCGTTAATTCGTTCCAGAAGGTAGGACTTATACTGAAAATGACATATACCAAACGAATTTTTCCCATAAGAAATAAAGGGAAAGGAAATAATCCGTTCCAGAGTATAAGAAATGATATTTAATATGGCATATTATACATAAAATAATTTAGACACTACTTATTACTAAAATGCATACATACATTAAAATAAATGCATAAATAAATTAAAATAAATTGAAATAAAAATAAAATTTAACATCACTTTACCTTGCTAAGAGGAGTTGATCGCCTACGAGGATGGTGGTGAGGAAGGGGAGGAGTCGTGAACGGGGTCTACGCGGGTACGCGGTGACTCATCCCGACCCATACAAGTTCTAGCAAGCGCGTCGTATCCCAAGCAAGACGTCGTATCCCAAGACATTTTTTCTCTCGTCAAAACACGACGTATACCAAATTCGACATATTCCAATGCAGTCGTATACCGAGGTATGACATGTAAGAAATGAGAGTTTGCTTGAAGTAATTTCGAGCGAAGTAGCATTTCCCAGGAACGCATCCTCTACGTATAGCAGGGGATTCCTGTGTTACCCATAATCCTCCATGACAGCGCATCTGAACAAGACATGCTTGTAACTCGCTGACATGCCGCTCCTGGACATTGGTGAAAAAGAGCTTCATAGCTCATAGGATTCCTCCAGGATAGATAAAGATTCTGATTACAATATTTTGCGTCGTACGCAAAAGGTACACTGAGCCGGAGAGGGGCCGGTTGAGTTCTGATGTCAGTTGTGCGTGGAGCCAACCTGGCTGGATTGTAAAACACTTTGAACAGCTGAGATTGATTCTAGATTTGAAGCTTTCGTGACTGCAAGGATTCATACTCTTAGTTCTCTCGGTAAAGTCACGTAGGTAAAAAATGAAATAAAAATTAATAAAAATAAAACAATGAAAATCACGACGTTTCGGAGGCAACACAAGTCTCCGTCATCAGGTGGGACCGTCACAGCCAGATTAGCTGCATCAAGTGAGGGAGGGATTCAAGATGTAGGCTCTTAAGTACCAGTTAAGGGAGGAGGGGGGGACGGGCCTTATCAGAATGTGGTAGCCAATGAATGGAAAGTATCGGGAGGGGGGGGGCTAACAGAGCTGAGATTGACTTTTTAAGGTGCAGACTACTGTTTTCATTCAAATGTGAGGTCATCAGCAGAACATATTCTGCTGATCCATTTCTGCCAGTGTGTAGTGTATAGGTTGCTTTAACCCAACCCAAGTTAAAGTTTGAGGACCCATTCCTATTACTTATTAACATAGCTACCACTCTTCACCCATTACCTGTTGAAGTTAAAGTATGACTATGTAGGTATGTAGTGATGTATTGATCCATTGATTATAGTCAGTTATATTTTTTTTTTTAGGTTTTGAGCCAGGCTGGTCAAGATTGGGCAAGGACATAGCCCCACTAGTTTTCATCCAGGAGAACACCAACCGAGAGGTTTCTTGACTTACCGCTAACACATTCCTGCGGAGGGAGCTGGTAGGAACGTTGGGTTGCTCGGTCAATGGCCAGGGTCAACGGCGGCGTGGTATATTATGCAAATATGGCCGACTGAGGGCGGGCACAAGCCGGCGTGAGTAGGTTAAACGTTGAGTTTTATAAGGGCACCACGGGGTGACCAGCCCCTCCCCACCCAACCGCTCCCCACCCAGCCCCACCCCTCTCACCCCCCACCCAGCCCCACCCTCCCCACCCAGCCCCTCCCCACCCTCCCCTCCCCACCCAGCCCCTCCCCACCCTCCCCACCCAGCCCCTCTCCACCCTCTCCTCTCCACCCAGCCCGACCTCTCCCATTTTTGGATGCACGACGGACGGACACAATAATCCCCTGTGGGCTGGTGGAGCCAGGTGGTTCCTACCAGTATAACAGCAAACAATGACACATATTTAAGACCGCATAATACATATATATACCACTAAGAAGTAGAGAAATAATTAAAAGAACATTTAAAATGTTTTATATCTTATCCCATGATTCTGATATTGCACAGGACAAGCCATACGCTCATGATTCTTCAATCAAATCACATATGCAACAATCAGTTACTTTCAGGTTATGCTAATTATGTAAATACTACTGAATATGTGTAGGCTAATTTAGTGAATGATACGACACAAACCAGATGAAACAAATGCCAAGCAATAGAAATGGAATGAGAAAAAAGATACAAATGAACTGGTTCTTTAGTCAAGTTGTGACCATGAATCCTGATGCATCGTCTCACAGAAGGGTGAGTCGGTGCATGTCTAACGGTCTGGTTAAAACACGCAGTCAGTGAGAGCGCTCGGCGTATAAGAATGTGCAACCTTTGTCAGCGTGGCAAGACGCCGGCCGGCAAAGCGACACTTGAATGTGACGTAGATGCAATTGGCGAGCGGATACTGCATGGCACCGCGTTACCATGTTCACGTGATTTTTGTTTTCATAAACGAGCAGAGAGGCACGCTGAATGCTGCGACCGTGCATGCCGGGCGTGAGCAGGGCGCGACGCTGGAGGAAGCGGCGGCGCCTCCCGGCACGGTGACAGTCCGGGAGCGGGGACTCCTCCCCCGGTGCTCGCTGGCTCAGGGAGAGCCTGGAGAGGCTGGGCCTCGCGCCGCAACTGCGGCCACTGCTCGCCCACAGGGCCCACGTCCTTGCCTTTTACTCCGGTCAGTGTCTTGTGTCTGCCATACTGAGAGCTCTTAGCCGTTATATGTACCCAACCGTGTTAATCGGAGGTGCGAGGGAACGACAACAAATTTAACACAAAAAGCAGATGTAAAGAAAGGAGTTTTCAATCGAGATGCCTTGAAAGTGCATAGCTCCAGCCGTTTCCTAATATAGGACGGAAGAGTGTTCCAGACGGCTGCAGAAGTGCATCTGAAAGCGTGCGATGCAGTGGCCCTCTTTGATGGATATTTAAATGCCATGCAATTGGATCATCATCATCCTCTTCATTGTCAGCCATGATAAGTCCACTGCTGGATGAAGGCTTCCCCAAGCACAGAGTCCGTGCTATGTAACAATTCTCCCAGCTCCCCGCGCTCTATTCAGTGATTCACCGTGTGCTGTGTAGGTGTTGTGTTGTGAGGTGTATTGAGCAGCCGGGTTGATTGTGTGGTGCGCTGTGTTGTGTAAGTGTTACGTGGTGAGGCGCACGTGTAGGTGTGTTGCACGGTGAGGTGTGTTGCGTGGTGAGGTGTGTTACGTGGTAAGGCGCACGTGTAGGTGTGTTGCGTGGTGAGGTGTGTTACGTGGTGAGGCATGGTGAGGTGTGTTGCGTGGTGAGGTGTGTTGCGTGGTGAGGTGTATTGCATTAGCGCTGTGCAGGGGTGCCGATTGAGTCATCTGTCCGCAGAGTCGGCGTTTGTGCTGAGCGACGTGCACGTCACCGCCATGCTGCATTGCCTGGACGCGCTTGAACAGAACAGCATGGACCTGCTCACTGAAATCAGCACCGCGCTGGTGAGACACACGTAGCCGAGTTTTCGGTATTTTTCTGAAAAAATATCCACGCGGAACATTTCTAGCTATAAGTTCCGGCTCGACAAAAATTTCCAATCTCTTCCATACAGAGGAACACGAGGGCTGGTCATCAGTCACGTGATGGCATGCCCTCCGTGCCTCGGCTGTGGCCAGGTTGCACCTGAAAAAAATAAGTTAATACCTCAGTGAGCTTTACCTTAGTGATATAAACTAAATAAACTACGCAACACAACTAACTAGTTTATCTTACTACATAGGCTTTCGCGACCAATATCATCCATAATAGAGTTTTATTTGGGTTAGATCGTGTAAATATATAAATGTGTCGTTAAAACCCGCCACCACCCGACACAGCCAACTAGTAAGGGTTGTCACGTTAACAGAACGTGGCCAATTTGTCACTAGTACAGCACTAACCAGTGTGTTGGAGAGCCAAGCCACAACATTCACAATCTGAGTACGACGTTTCGCCAGTAATTACAACTAGCTTCATCAGGCGACAGCCAGATTTGTGGAGAAGTCTGTTTCGTTCCTTATATAGAGGCGTAGATGTGGTGACCACGCGTCTGAGCTCTTGTGCAAAGTGGGGGGGGGGGGGGGGCTTACTGAGTCAAGTACATTATGCATGTGCATTATGCAAGCCCTTTAATCTTGTCCTGCATGTCTATTGTGTTTATGAAGTATGCTGCCCTTTCTAGGCATGCATTTAAATAATGTATTATTTGATGATTCGCTTGCACGCAGCACTTACGGCTCGCATAATGCACATGCATAATGTACGTTGACTCGGTAATCCCCCCCCCCCCCACTTTGCACAAGAGCGCAGAAGCGTTGTCACCACATCTACACCTCTCATATAAGGAACGAAACAGCAAGACTTCTCCACAACTCTGGTTGTCGCCTGATGAAGCTAGTTTAATTACTGCCGAAACGTCGTACTCAGATTGTAAATGTTGTGGCTTGCCTCTCCAACACACCGGCTAGTGCTGTACTAGTATACTAGACTATACACTACACTATACATTACACTACTATAAACTGCACTACTATAAACTACACTACTATATACTACACTACTATACACTACACTATACACTACGCTACACACTAGTGCTGTACTAGTGACGAATTGGCCACGTTCTGTCTACATAACAACCCTTACTAGTTGGCTGTGTCGGGTGGTGGCAGGTTTTAATGACACATTTATATATTTACGTGATATAACCCAAAAAACCTCTATTAGGGAGTTCATCTTACCATAAACTAAATATTTTAGTTTTATTTGTATATTTTAAAGTGATTTTTGACTAACTTTCCTATACTTTGCAGTCCTATTGTGTTTTTGTTTTATTTGTTTGTTGTAACGTTCTGATCCTGTGTCCCTGCTGCACATCTGTGAAAAAGAGCTTCATAGCTCATCGGATTCCCATAAATATTCTGATTCTGAATCTGATCAGCTGTGCAAGGGGAGCGTGGGTCTACTGGCGAAAGGGAGCCGCCCCTCCGGTGCCGCCCTCTTGGGCAGAGCCACACCGTTGGCTGTCGGCGGAACTCCTGCGGCCGCCAGACGGAGGAGCTGGAGCCTCGCGGTGTCTCCCGGCGCGGGGCGTGGGGCCGGCCCGGGTGACGCGCGCCCACGCCGCCACACTCTGACTCATGTGGTGCACGGCATTGCTGCCACCGCCGGCACCACCGGCACCACCACCGGCACGGCCGCCGCCAGCCTGACCGCCGCACCTCCTTCAGCCGGTGGTGAGCTTCAGGGCTGGCTTCTAGCAGCAGCTGGGATTACGCACGTCATCACCCACTAGGGGTAGACGAATACCCCCAGGTCACTCTTTGCAAATAAGACTCATCGTGGTCTCTTCCTGAACACAGCTAACATGAGTACGTGGGTGTGTTGGTGTATGAGGAGGGGAGTGGTGGTGTAGCGGTTAGCACGCTGCGCTATGAACCCGGCGACCCAAGTTCGATTCCCGTTCACGACCAACACCAGTGAACATTATCTGAACCGGTCCTGGGCCTCCTCTAAGTCGACTCGGCCTCAAATGAGTACCTGGTGTGGTGTGTATGCATCACCACTGGGGAGACAAAGGTAGCCGGGCGTGATGCTGGCAACCCACCCTCTCGTGTGTCGTGCCGACCTTAAGGGGGGGGAGTGGTAGGCTTGTGGTCAGCGCATTGCACTATAAATCAGGTGATCCGAGTTTGATTCCCGCTCACGGCGCGAGCTCCTTCGTTTAGTGCTGCGCCAGAAGCAGGTTCGTTCTTTTGAATAAAAGTTGAAAGCATCATTCATCTAAAATGTTTTTATATTCACATTTGGGATACATGCAGTGATGGAAATGGAAAATGAGAATCGCCGGAATGGAAACTATTCGTCCCGAGGCTCATGTCCGCTTCTGTTTCCCCTCTGCGGAGACGTCGCGGTATCGAAATAGGAACAGAACGTGCCGGTGTGATATGCGCGCAGGTTTGTTGTTCTGAGAAGTGCCGGTATGGTGTCCCTGTCGTATATACCGGCTCATTTCCACCACTGGGTACTTGTATATGTAGCTTGAAAATAAGCGGTGTTTGTTGTTCAACAATTGAGACACCAGAGGCCCCAAGGTAACTGGGAACTCGTTCATTTAAGAATAGCAGTGACAATCACTGGAAAGATGCACTCTATGCATTTGTATTTTATGCACGATCTGCTTCAACTCTTTTATTAAAGCATTTCATACTTAAAGTTGGTAATAAATTTGGAATTTGAATTCTCGCACCCTTCACTTCACCCACGAGCTTCGATCGGTTCCTACACCTTCGATTAGCACGGTTGGCTACGTACTCTGCGAAAGAAGTTCAACATACATACTGCACATGTTCAGGAGTTAAATGCCGATGGCGATGTCTGCTAGTCTTGTAAGGAATGAGATGGATCCACATTTAATCAGACGCTGAAGGTAGAGACTGGTCCAGAGTTTGCCTGCGTGAACAAGTACACAAATCAGAAATGAAAAATTTTCCCTGCAGCCAAATGCTAATTTGACTGCAGAAAATATATGCCTGGCACAAGTGTAGCACTGTGTCGGTGTGTTGATTGGTCTCCATCGCGTCGAACTGGTGGAGGAGGTGGGGTTGGTAGACGGAGGAGGAGTGACCTTTAGCTGATCGTAGAGACGGAGCCATCCCGGAGCCGGCTACACCTGCTCGTGGGAATGCACACAGGGCGGGGGTAGGTCACACGGCCATTTGTCTTGCAGGCGCGGTGCACGAGGGGGACCCGCGCGGCGACGCTAAGGGAGCACCAGCGGGCGAGCGGCACGTGGTGACGCGCCCCGTGGGAAACTCGCTGTGTGCCGGCACCGGCACGGAGCAGGAGATGAGCTGGCTGGAGATGTCGCACTCTCCCATTGGAGGCGGAGATAGCGCCACCGCCGCTGCTCCCTGTTCGTCCACGCCAGCGGATCCACGCGCCGCGGGCGCCGCCCCCTTCAGCGCCGCGTCCTCCCCCAGGGACGCAGACGACGGGCCGGAGTACTTCGCCGTCGGAGGCTCGAGCCGCGGCCGTTCCTGCTCGTCCTCCTCTTCCTCGTCGTCGTCCTCGACGTCCACGTCGTCCTCGCTCGCCTCGCTGCCCACGCAGGCCTCGCTCCCCATCGCCGTCAACAGCGGTGCCGCGGCGGCGGCCGCGGAGACCCGGCAGCAGCAGCAAGAGCAGGAGGGGATGCAGCCGTGGAGGAAGGGAAAGCAGCACAAGCGCTCGCAGTCAGACGTGGGGCCCGCACGCGACCACCGCCACGGTGAGCGCACGCACGGACACTCGGAGACACGGCCACTCAGCTCACACCACCACTCGGAGACACGGCCACTCGGCTCACTTGCCAGCTGTCGTGTTCCTGCACCCACGGTTGTCATTTTCGCCCTGTGGCTCACATGTATCTTTTTCCTTCATGCTGACAAAAGTCGGATTTTGGAAAATCCCTGCAATAGTTGAAGATCCCTATGAAGGTTTGATGTGCATAGTATCCCTTATCCATCATGTTTCTAATATATTATCTATTGATACTTGCATGCTCATACTTCAACATAATAACCACTCGTTTATTTCCACTAAAATCAAAGGACATATTCCACTATTTCATTATAGCATTAGGTTTGTGTTATTTTTTTGTCCACACGTTGTCTAAATCCTCTTGAGCACTAAAATCATAATAATGATTTACAGCAGGACCACGTACATGCTGAAGAACATTGGTACCCAGTGTTAGCCTGCTTTACATCTTTACTTGTATTTAGGAAATGGGATGGATTTATCATAGCTGGCTACCAGAGTAAGATGGATGCAGATATATGGATCCGGTATCAATAGGAATGATTGCATGGGGATTTTGAAGTGCCTGCTCCATACAAGTGCGAAATGTCATGAGTTTGCCAATTTGTGCATCATACAGTTGCACACATTTGTACAAACCCTTATACCCATCTCACAGGAAACCCAAGCTGCATGTATTTATGTTGAACTTCTTTCACACCTTACGTGTAGCCAATCTTGCTAATCGGAGGTGCGAAGTGTGGCCCTTGTCTCATGTGTGTGCTGCTCCACCTGCCTCGCTGCAGACGGAGCGTTCTCCTCCAGCAGGGAGGCGTGCAGCCAGGCGCTGCACTCCGACACCGCCCCAAGGCCTGCAGGTGGTGCATTGTCCCACCCGCTCGCCACCACCCGCTCGCCCCCGCCCGCTCGCCCCCACCCACTCGCCCCCGCTCGCTCGCCCCTACCGGCTCGCCCCCACCGGCTCGCCCCCGCCCTCTCGCCCCCGCTCAGTCGCCTGCTCCCTCACCTGGCCACTCCATCCACCTATTCATGATAAAGTTTTTTTTTGGCTTAGATCGCGTAAATATAAACGTGTCGTTAACCCGCCACCTGGCCACAATTCTGGTAAATCACCTGATGAAGCTGGGAAGCAACAATTGCCCAAGCTTTGCAATCCCCTATATATCAAGGCATTATCGGTCAATTTATGAGCATTTATACGATTTGATTGTCGCAGCAGATGGGGCATACGGCTGGAGCAGGAAGTTGGGGGAAGGCCTGCAGCTTCGCCGGCCGTCGGAGGGACAGTCGCTCCTCAGCTACCTCTCGGAGCAGGACTTTGCGATGTGCGCCGACCTGGAGAAGGTATTCTGGCACGGGCGTCGTCACTGCGTGTGTGCAACAGGGCCTCGCCCGCTTGGCTCTTGCAACGAAAGCGTGTGGCCTCATCGGGGCTGTCGGCCCGCTTTTTAAAAACGCACCACGAATAATTAGGTGTCGATATGAATGCAAAAACTCAAGAACCCTCCCAGCCACGAACCGGCTTGGTCGTTGGACCACTTCACACACAAGGTCAGGGTGAATACACCAGCAGTACTGGGCCAATTTGTGTGGCTGAACGGATGTTTTCTGTCTATTACCTTACCACCTTTTACCCTACATATATTCACCCTGTATAGCAAGGTGAAGTTTGCAACGTTATGAGGTTATTCAGCCATTCGGTCGCCTCTGGGAAGGCTTGGTGGCAGACGTCGCAACCGGGTACCCGATACCCGTACCCTACCCGATACCCGGGTACCTGTACCCGGCCGGGTACGGGTACCCGTTTGCGACCCTGGTGCGGCCGGGTACGGGTACGGGTAGGCCGTGAGTCACTGGTGAGTAACCGTTTGTCACTCATTTCCCAACGTCTTGTCTCTTCTCACAATTCAAGTTCCTAGAATCAACCCACCCGAGCCTGCAACATGGCTTCATCCCATAGGTCGCAATCGGGTACTCGTACCCGTACCCTACCCGATACCCGGCTGGGTACGGGTAGCCGGGTATCGGGTAGGGTACGGGTACGGGTACCCGTTTGCGACCCTGGTGCGGCCGGGTACGGATACGGGTAAGGAATCAAAACCCATTTGCGACCTCTGCTTGGTGGATGTCGGTGGATCATGTGACCCTCGGTCTGTGAATCGGTTGGGGGCAGCGTGGGATCATGTGACGCGTGGTCTGTGGTGGCAAGGTGGGGTGTTGGCGACGAGGTGGAGCATTGACGGCGTTTCCACGTCTCTCCCCACTGCAGGAGAACGCGCACTTCAGCATCTCAGAGTCGCTCATCGCCGCCATTGAGCTTATGAAGTGCAACCTGCTGGGCGACCGCGGCTGGGAGCTGGAGGTGGCGGCGTTGGCGGCGAAGGAGGCAGAGGCGGAGACGGCGGAGACGGCGGCGGTGGGGGCCGTGTCAGGGCCCGAGTGCCTGGACGAGAGCGACGGCTGGGTGGAGTGCAACGCGGCCGGCGCGGAGCTGAGGGTGGAGGAGGCCGGAGCGGCGGACACCACCGAACCACTCGAGGGTGAGAGGCCGCATCGGCGCTCATAACCCCCTCATCCCCACGCCCCCCGCACCGACGATTCGCGGGCAATGTCGCCAACATCCACCAAGCCCCCACGGAGGCTACTCAATGGCTTAACCCTTTCACATTTCGATGACATACACGTGTACATTATCGGAACGGAATCGTAAGGAAAAAAAATGTATTTATCGGGACAAGGCTCCCACAAGACCGTGCAGGAGGGCGTGTGGAAATGTTTGGCGCCAGCAATCGTAGCGTGTGGTCATGTCGCTACGGTTCTCTGCGGTGAGTACAACGTCTTTAAAAACAAAGGCGCTCCGAGATTGAGCGGTGAACGGGACACCCACCCTGCAACTTGCAGACGTCTCGGAACAGGAAGCCTCAATATTCACCTCGAAACATCTCCCGGTTCCTCGTGCGGTGCTGTTGTTTTTGTACCGATTTCTATTTGCATCAACGCTCTACTTTTGTTTGTTGTCAGTTTTGCTTTTCCACTTTGGTGACCCAGATCACTTCGCTCTTCTCACTTGGTCTCGCGAGTTCCTCACCTGCTTAAAAAAACAACAACAAAACTTTAAACTTTTGAACCCGTGTGTCGCGTGTCAGTCGCCCTGCCGGCAGCCAGCAGCCCCTCAGAGAGTTCGGATCTCTTCGTGTCCACGGAATCTTGCCTCTCCAGCTGCCAGAGCTGGAAGAACTGCGACACAGAGACGGCAGGTGAGGGACCGCAGCGTCGCATTGCTCCTTACATCCATGGGATCTTTTTGGCAGTCGGTTTAACACGTAGTTGTCGGGCTTTCGCGACCAATATCCAAAATAAAGGGGTTTTTTTTTGGGTTAGATCACGTAAATATAAATGTGTCGTTAAATCCGCCACCACCCTCGACACAGCCAATTAGTAAGGTTTGTTAGGTAAACAAACTTAGTTACTAGTTCAGCACACCGTTGGGTGTTGGAGAGTAAACTCACAACGTTTACAATTCGAGTACGATGTTTCACTGCTGATTACAACAACCAGCCTCATCAGGCGATAGCCAGAATTGTGAAGAAGTCCTCCTCCTGTTTCGGTCTTAAATGGGGGGGTCAAGGTGATGTCATCACTGTGAGCCTATCCGGTGCCTATCATGTGGACTTTTTTGCCGGTATCAAAAATGATGAAAAAAGAATAGGCGTAAACCCTTTCTGGCAAAAAAACTGGTGGTGTTAAGATGTTCAAACACCAAATATGTAGTACCTATTGCGAGGCATAAAAAGTCCGTATTAACCACGCATACTTGTGGCAAAACATGCAAACAAATATGCTCTGATAATTTCTGCATTGTCTTTGAAACTGATTGGCCTTGACGTACCAGTGTGAGACAATAAACTAAATAGTGTAGTTCTATTTGTAAATACATTTTAAGTGATTTGTTTACCTTTTCAATACTTTGCACTGCTATCGTGTTTTTCTATTGTTTGTCATTGCAATGTTCTGACCCCGTGCCCCGACTGGAAATCTGTGAAAAAGAGCATTAAAGCTCATCTGATTCCTCCGGTATTCTGATTTTGTAACGCGCGCTGTGGTTTAATCTTCTCCGCAGGGAGCGTGCGGGAGGCGAGCAGTCCCTTGGGCAGCCTCACTTCGTCGCTGCAGAGCTCCGAGTCGCTGTGAGTGTTGCCTGCGGCCGCTGTCTCTCTCCGGGTTAATGCCGGGATTCTAGTTGCTAGTCCTGCATAGCCCTCTAACCCAATAAGGGCACCAAGTTAAAATTATTGTTGTTGGATCTTGGGAAGCTCAGCGGTCTTGAGCCTGGTTAATCCTTGGATAGTTGACCAGTGGGTGATTTATCAATTGCTGTCGGCATGGGCCTGTGAAATATCCACGAGTGTTGTGTGCCACCTCCTCGTGTGTCCGGGATTTCTCGGGCACTCTGATTTGCTCCTACAACCCAACAAATAATCGTGAATGGAATTGGCCAAACTCAAATGCTGGAACCCTCCTGAAAAAGAGTCTTGAAACTCAGCGAGGCATTCCCGAGTAAATACTTGCCGTTCTCATCATTATTTCTGTGCGTAGGAGATTGCGCGTAACACAACTGTTGCACTTGACTATATCTACAAGCCTGTTGTTGGTCGTGGCTTGGGGAAGGCCTTCATCCAGCAGTGGGCTTACCCTGGCTGCTGCAGCTGCTGCTGGTGATGATGATGGTGATTATTTAAATGAGTATAAATTTCACACATTTTTATGGACACACCATTTATATGCATGGCATTTATCTATGTGAGCGTTGGCTCACGTCCCAATGCACTTTTAAATCATCCACAGCCCGCAGGCGTTGAGCGCAAGTGCGTGTGCGCTCGTGTGTGTGTGTGCCCGTGTGTGATCGGTGGTGCAGCGGTGAGCGTGCTTTGCTATGAACCCGGCGACCCGAGTGCGATTCCCGCTCACGCCAACACCAGTAACGATTATATGAACCTTTCCTGGGCCTCCCCTAGGTCGACTCAGCCTCAAATGAGTACCTGGTGCAACGTGGAAACGTAGCCACTAGGTAGACAAATGTGGCCGGGCCTGGCGTTGGCCACCCACTCCCTGGCGACCTGTTCCGGCCTTCATACGTGGTCGTTAACAAAACTTGCCCCTTCAGTCTGTTAAGGCTATACGGGGGGGATCTTTGTATTTGTGCCCGCGTGTGCAGGATGTCCCTGAGTGGGCCGCCCAGCTCCTGTGCCAACTCCGCTGAGGCTGTGGCCATGGGGCTGCTGCGGCGATTCCAGGGCATGCAGCTCCCTGCCGCCTCGGAGCTCGACTGGCTCGTCACCGAGGAGGACGCGCCACAGAAGGTCGGCGCAGCATTGTGGCCCAGCGCTTGGGGACTCTGGGCACGCGACTTTTGGACTTTGGGACACTGGATTCTGGGAAATGGACTCTGGACACTGGGACTCTGGGCATGGGACTCTGCAACTAGGCATGGGACTCTGGGGTCTGGGACTGGGCGCGAGCTTTAGAACTCTGGGCATGGGGAACTTTTGTGCCTTACCAGCTTGCAGGTTGTAAGGCAAAAAAGTGTTGCAGACAACGGCAAGCAGAGCACAAGCAGCTGAGAACACAGCAGGTGGCTGCCGTGTGGGCTACAGTTGGTTACGACGCAGGTGCCGTGTTGACGTCTCCACCTATTGCTACTACGATTCCCACGACCGATTTGATCATCTGGGTGCCCTGCAGGATGACTCTCGGCCATCCACATCCATCGAGAGGCGTGTGCCGCCTTGGGTCTTGTGGAGCAGCAGGTCGGACAGTGCTCCCGACCGCCGCTTGATGTTTTCGAACCGAGTCCTCTTTAGTCTTCCTCTCTTTAGTTTTCCTTTCACTGCTTCCTGAAGTACTCTCCTTTGAGAGGCTGCTCCACCTCGTGACCTGGCCCACAACCATCGCAGTTTCCTCTTTTTGATGGCATTCAGGATGGGCCCTTTTTTTCCTGCTGAAAATTCCTCGTCTGCTGCAAATGTATCGCTTGTGGTGAACGACGGGTGTGTTAACATTTCGCCGTGGTGGCACCTAGCATACAGGAGGTTGTGGGTTCAATCCCGACCCTGACGCCTGCATATTTGGAGTTTGTGTGTCACTCTCCCTGTGGTCGTGTGGATTTTTCTCTGGGTCCTCCCGGTTTTTCCCTCCACATTTAGAAACATTGTGCGTTTAGAGTATTTGGCTGTTTCAAAATTCCACGTGATAAGCTACTTCGTTGAGCTATGTGATAGTCAATTCGATTCTGAGAAAGAGCTATATAGCTTAGTGTGCCTTACCCGGGGAAATACAACTTTTTTAAAATTTCGTCTGTTGTGTGCGTGTGCGTTCACCACAGCTGCTGCCCATGCCGGGCTCCGTACCGATTTGCCCGGACGATGGGGAGCACTCAGACGTCTACAAGCTCCGAATTCGAGTGCGCGGCAACCTGGAGTGGGCGCCACCACGCGCGCAGATCATATTCGACATCCACCCCAGCACCAAGTAAGCCCCGGTCGGTCCTCGTTCCACCGAATGCTGGTGGCAACTGCCCTTCCGCCAGCGGATGACCAGAGTTTGTGTGACGGTTTATCCTCCTGGACGAGATCAGCGAGGTATAATAGCATGTACAGTAAAACCTTGGATTGCGAGTAACTTGGCCTGCGAGTGTTTTGCAAGACGAGCGATTTTTTAAAATAAATATTAATTTGATAAACGAGCGAGGTCTTGCAATACGAGCAGTACGTGTATACGCTTTGTCTGCCCAGCGTCACGTGATCACAACTGATATACGAGTGCTTTGGATTACAAACACGTTTCCGGAACGAATTATGCTTGCAATCCAAGGTTTTACTGTATATGCCGGTGGCTTAATTCATTGAATGTCTATGGGAAGCGCCCGAGGCATTCGTGAGTAAGCGTTGGTTCACACACAGATCTCTTGTGTACCACAGGAAGAAAGTGATCCTGGCCAAGCAGAACAGCAGGTGTGCGGGGTGCGGTACCAAGGTGGATTCAAGTGAGTAGGCGCTGCTCTTACTGCTGCTGTTGCTGCTGCCATCGACAAGGCTCGAATATTGCAACTCAGTACTCTACGGGACGTCTGGCATATACATTACCGAGCTGCAGGTTGTGCAAAATTGTCTGGCACGTATCGTGATGGATACGCTAAGAACTGACCATGTCCTTCCAGTGCTCGCCGAACTGCATTGGCTTTTGGAAGCCGAGCGAATACATTATGAGGTCACACACAATTACACAAAGTGCTTGCCACAAATGAACCATACTACTTCGCTGATATCGTCAAGGAGCATAAACCATCACATGAACTCCAGGCATCCTCGCAGCAGCGGCTGTTGGGTAGCCATGGAACAAAGACGGTCCCTGGATCGCACGCTTTCAGATGCACTTCTGTGGCCGTCGGGAACGCTCTTCCTTACGAAATTAGGAAGCCGCTAGAGCAATGTACAAGATTAAGAAATCTTCTTTAGAACCGCTTTTCGTGTTTAGTTTGTTCTCCTTCCACCGCACCTCCGATTAGCACGGTTGGCTACGTACGGTGCGTAAGAAGTTCAACATACATACAAACGTACAGAATAATTTTCAAGAGCAGCGGCATGAGGGTGGCCAAGGACCTGTTGGGGAAACCCTGACCTCACAAACCTTCATGCCTCCCACCCACCCACTGACCGCCACCTCCCCCAGATTATATAAAGCGACTGCGTTACTGCGAGTACCTGGGGAAGCTCTTCTGCCAGTGCTGCCAGTCGGGCTCCGTGGCCGTGGTGCCCGGGCGGCTGCTGCGCCGCTGGGACGCGTCGCGCTACCCCGTGAGCAACTTCGCCCGGGAGCTGCTCGCGCGCATCGGCCACGACCCCCTCTACAACCTCATGGACATCAACCCCCAGCTCTACCGCAGGGTTAAGGCCCTCACCGTCGTGCAGGTATGCGTCCCCACGCCAGCCCTGCCCGACCCTCCCCTGCCCTCCGCTCCCATACCCCGTCCTGCTGTCTTATACTCTGCCATGCCCAGCCCTACTCTCCCTTGCCCTGTCTTTCGCTTCCCTGCCCTTTCTTGCTTGCCCCTGCCTTGCCCTGTCCTTCACTTTTCATCCCTGCCCTGGCTTCTCCTGCCCTTCTATTGCCTGCCCCCCCATCCTATGGCCGCCCCTGCACTGCCCTGCTAGTTTAGAAATGAATGGGATAATTGAATTTGCACATAAGTGGTGAGAGCTAAGCGCTAGCAGAGGTGTGGATGTTGAAACAAGGTGGGTTACGCGCGCTCTTCCTGGTCCCTTGTGGAGTGGGATTTACAAACTTTTGTCTGAGCCAGTGTTCTTGACTAATCTTCAGAGGGGGGCCACTTTCACCAATAAGACATCAGCGTGAGGACCACCACACATTTGAAACCATTAGGGTTTGACAATATGATGGGTGTTTTCACATTTGTGTATTGTCGGGGGCCGCACGTCAGCAGCCGCACTAAAGGCCACCAGGGGCCGCCAGTAGCCCGCGGGTCTTGCAATGAAGAACACGGCTCTGAGAGAAGACGACTTTGCGCGCGATTGTGATAAAAATTGAGAGGCCGTGCTCTGCGATGCAGCCTGAGCGACTCGAACTCCCGGTGCTCGGCAAGCAAGGTCGCCCAGTCCGGTTCCACAGAGTTGACTCTTTGGTGCGATGGTGGCGAATTGTTAACGTCACCTGGTATACAGGAAGGTTGTAGGTTCGAATCCGACCCTGATGCCTGTATGTTTGCATGCTTTCCATGTGGTCGTGTGGATTTTTCTCCGGGTCCTCTGGTTTTTCCATTTTAAATCACCATGCGTTTAGAGTATTTGCCTGCTATAAATTTCCACATAGCCACTTTGTTGAGCGATCATTTGTGATAGCCATGTCGCGATTCTGAAAAAGAGCGATACAGCACAGTGCGCCTTACCTAGTAACATAAAATAAAAGCTCACTTGTTTTAGTCATTGAATAGTTTAAAGAGTAACCGATTGACACTTAAGCAGTTGGGAGTACAGACAGCAGCCTGGGTGGACCGTGCGTGAGCCGCGATGAGATCTTACGAGCGCCTGCCTGCCCCGTTTGTTTTACAGGAGCTGAGGAAGCAACTGGTCCACCTCAAGCACCTCCTCCAGACGTGTCGGCATGCAGAAAGGCGAGTGCCTGAATGCTCGATTTAGTTGTCGTTTCAAACCACATTCACGCGTGCTTTGGTAGATCGCTATCTTGAAAATATTTACTCTCCAAATTTAAAAATAAGAGGATTAGACCAATTAAAGGGTGACTTTGTCATGTTTCGATTTAAAGCTTTCGTGACTGCAGGGATTCATCTTCTTGGTTCTTTCGGTAAAGTCACGTAGAATGGAAATAATAAAATAATAAAAATTAAAAATTTATTCTCACGACGTTTCGGCCACAACGCAAGCAGCCGTCCTCAGGTGAAGAACAGGTCTGTCGAGAAGACAGAGTCTGAATGACGGCTGCTTGCGTTGTGGCCGAAACGTCGTGAGAAATATTTTTTAATGTTTTATTTTTATTATTTTATTATTTCCATTCTACGTGACTTTACCGAAAGAACCAAGAAGAGGTTTGTCGTGTTGTTGCATCAATGGATTAATGTTATCGGTTCTCTTTCACTCACGTACACAAAGACTAAAAGTCATCCAACATTACACGCAGGCTTTCACACCAAGTATTATTCATAATTAGTTTATTTTAAGGTTAGATCACCGTGTAGGTATAATTTATTGTACATATTTAAACTATAACCCACCACCCTGGCAGCCAATCAACTCAAGTTTTCACGTCATGGGCAAACACACTGATTGGTTTGGTTTATCAGCAAACCAGAGGAAGAGGAGGAAAATCCACTTCAACAAGAAATGTTGTTGCTGTGGTTTTCCCACCTGATGATGATTGCTTGTGTTGCAATCGGAACGTCGTGATTTAATTTATTTTATGTTATACCTACGTGACTTTACCGAAAGAACCAAAGGAGGAAGATGAGCAAAGCTGAGCAGCCCAACTAAACTTTGGACAGTTTTGTTGTACTCTACAACGTTCCGCTGCAGGTGACGCCCAGCATTGTCGCGCATTAACTGCTGACGCGATGAGAGCCGCGCTTCTCTTAACACCTGACGATGCTCGATGTAATTGCGAGCGAAACTTCGTGCTAAACTGCCCAAACGTTTGCTCGATTTTAAAATCCTTTATATTAAGTTCACTTGCTTGCTTGCTTTCTTGCGCGCTTACGACCGTGCAAATCTTTCGGTCGTTTTTTAACCCACTTCCCGTGATCCAATCGAGCTGACATTTTGCACAGACTCGTTGTGCGTGACAATTTATTTTCGTGAAAATTTTTTCCAAAATTTTCCACTTTTTAGGAAAACTAAAAATGTCATATTTAATTTTAAATACCAATGTGATAAAAATGAAACTCTTACTCAAGAAAAACAGAAATGAATAATAAAATAAAACAGATGCCACGCATATAAAGGATTTATAGTGAAAAACTTTGTTTTTACGGGTTAATTTTTTACTTTTTACGCCAGTTTGTGGATAAACCAAATCCATCGGCGTGTTTGCCCTCGATGTGATACATTGATTTAATTGGTTCTATTGGCAGGTGGTGGAGTGCTCTCGTTATACAATTAACATTGTATGTACGTATGTATGTTGAACTTCTTTCGCACCATACATAGCCAACTGTGCTAATCGGAGGTGCAGGGGAAAGACAACAAAATAAACACAAAAAGCAGTTCTAAAGAAATTAGTTTTTCGATTTTACAACACATTCCTGTGGAGGGAGCTGGTAGGAACGTTGGGTTGCTCGGTCAATGGCCAGGGTCAACGGCGGCGTGGTGTATTCCGCAAATATGCCCGAATGTGAGGGCGGGCACAAGCCGGCGTGAGTAGGTTAAACGTTGAGTTTTATAAGGGCACCACGGGGTGACCAGCCCCTCCCCACCCAGCCCCACCCCTCCCACCCCCCACCCAGCCCCACCCTCCCCACCCAGCCCCTCCCCACCCTCCCCTCCCCACCCAGCCCCTCCCTGCACGACGGACAGATGGACACAATAATCCCCCGTGGGCTGGTGGAACCAGTGGGTTCCTACCAGTACGATGATCTCACCTTGGGGTTGGCAACCTGCAGCTCCAGAGCCGCATGCGGCTCTTTGAGGACTGGTTCGTGACGTTATTTATTGAAGATCGTCTCATATTTACATTGCTTTGCGGCTCTTAAAATTATTGAAAGAAAACAAAATCCGAATTTGAAAAAAATGTCTCTTCTTATTATTTTCGTTGCCAACCCCCTGATCTCACCCAAAACAAACTCATCCTGAATCACAAAAACCACCTGTTTAGCCTTTTGTGCTGTTAGTGAACACCTGCGATGGCTGGCATGACACGTGAGAGCTGCCTTGGGCTTCCATTGCAGAAGTGTTTGTGTGCTTCTGTGTTTGTGTGTAAACAAAATCATAAGGGGGCTGCCGTTGAGTGGCACGCAATCGTCTTCTTATTCCCAGACAAAAGGTCCCATTATTGATCGTGGTCAGCTGCTCAGATGTTTTTCCTCTGTGTAAAAATCGTTTTATGCCATGAAGATACTGGTGATTCCCATCAAAGAATCGTATTCCATTCCAATAATTCGACTGCAATTCCTAGCTGTAAACAAGTTGGTCAAGCATCCCATCATAGGACCACAGAGCTTGGGCGATAGTTGCCTTCGGTTCTGGCCGGCCGCCTTCCTTCTTTAGCCAACCGTCCTAATCGGAGGTGTCATTTCGCGCTCCTCCGTACGAAAACTGCGCGCATTACAAATTCCGCTACAGCAGCATCTTGAGATGCAATTCGCATGAATGTCGCCGCTTTTTAAAAATAGAACAATCATAAAAGAATGAATACGCATGCACCGGTGTGTGTGTGGCAGTGGTAGTGTAGCGGTTAGCGTGCTGCACTACGAACCCGACGACCCTAATTCAATTCCTGCTCACTGCCAGCACCATTGATGCATATCTGAACCGGTCCTGGGTTTTCCGTAGGTTGACTCAGCCTTAAATTATTACGTGGTGTGGAGACAAAAGTGGTCGGGCGTGATGCTGGCCACCCACCCCCTCGTGTGCCATGCCGGCCTTCATAGGTGCTACTTGCGAACGGCACTTGCCTCAAGAGTCTGTGAAGGCTAAAAGAGGGGTCTTTGTCTTTGGGCTGCAGCATTCTGGCGACTCTGAGCTCCTCCGTGCCAGGACACCTGACGGAGGAGGTGGACCTCTACTCCCTGGAGGACTTGCTGGCAGTCAGACGGGGCGAGCTGGCCCCCACCTTGCGCCAGATGGTCACGCAGACCACGCAGCACGTGCGCGCGTGCCAGGTAAAGACAGTAGATCATGCGGTATTCGGCGGCTTAGGGGGGAATGGGGCGCCGGATTTTTTTTAAACGCCGGATAATCACTACATCATGATTATTTAAAATAGCTTATGTTTGCACATTCTTGTATAACATGTTTTTAAGTATTTTGTGTATATATTTAGTATTTTAATTTTATCAACTCTATGAATTTGGCATAAATGAACATACAAAAATAAATATCCTACTATAAAAAGTTACTGTATTTTTTACTGTACTGCACTTATCACTCCAATCTTGAAGACTCAATGGGGTGATGATAGAGGGGGTGTAGAATTGGAGGCGGTTATTCAGAGTCAGAATCCAACTCCCATCAGCTGTGATGGAGGTTTGCTGGGTCGGCCTGGGACCACCGGATAATGTTAGAAGCCGGATAATCACGTGCTGGATTATGGATGATCTACGGTATGTACGTTGAACTTCTTTTGCACCGTACGTATCCAACTGTGCTAATCAGAGGTGCGGGGGCTACGCAGCCTGGGCAGTTCAAACTCCCAGTGCTTAGCACTGAGTCGTCCAGTCCGGTTCCACAGAGTTGACTCTGGTGCCACGGTGGCGAGATCTTATCTATCTCGTCTGGTATACAGGATGTCGTGGGTTTGATCCCGACCCTAATGATGCCTGTATATTTGGATTGTGCATGTCCTCTGCTCGTGGTCACGTGGCTTTATCTCTGGGTCCTCCGGTTTTTCCCTCCACATTCAGAATCAACGTGCGTTCAGAGTATTTGGCTGCTATAAATGTCCACGTAATGCGCTATCATTCGTGGCCAGGTCGATTCTGAAAAAGAGATAAATAGCTCAGTGGGCCTTAACTACTAAAATAAAACTAGTTCGTACTTTGTAATCGTGAGCGTTCCGCACCGGCGCTGCGCCGTATCATCATCGCGAAGGGGAGCGTCGTGTGGACCGTGCGCACCTGACAAATCTGACGCCCCGCTACCCATATCCACCCCCGTACCCTTGCCCACCGTGCAGCTCTGCCAGGCCAGAGGCTTCATCTGCGAGTTCTGCCAGAAGGAAGAGGATATCCTGTTCCCGTTTGAGCTGACGCGCTGCCAGCAGTGTCCGGGTAAGTGTGTGTTTGGTGCTGATCACTACTACGGAACACTCCCTTCATCTGCACGGAACACAGTCTCTGGATCCACCAGGCCCACAGTCTCTAGCACCACCAGGCCCACAGTCTCTAGCACCACCAGGCCCACAGTCTCTGGCTCCACCAGCCCACAGTCTCCGGCTCCACCAGCCCACAGTTTCTTTCGCCACTAGCCCACAGTCTCCTGCTCCCCAGTCTGTGCAGGTGGTGTGGGTGACAGTGGGATGGGATGCTGTGCTGTGTCTCCGCCAGGCTGCCGTGCCTGCTACCACAAGTGCTGTTTTGCGGCCGCCCGGGAGGACTGCCCCCGCTGCAAGCGCATCCTGGCTCGGCGGCAGCGACTTGCGCAGCCGGACATTGACGGTTGAGCACGGTATTGAGGTGGGGATGCGGGGGTCATGGGAAGCCAGCAACTCGACTTGAAGACGGAGCCGCCCCTTCACCGTGACCTTTTTTGTTTTGTTTAAAGCAGGTAAGGCCCACTGAGCTACATAGCCATCCTCGTGAGGTCGCCCCTTTGACGTCGTAGCCTCTCTCCACCGCGGTCCTTGTCGGGATGCCACCGCAAAGGTGATCAACTCCTCTTCGACGTTGACCCCATCGGCTTGGTCGCCCTCCTGGGGTGTCTCCGACGGCTTGACGCGGTGCCAGAAGAGGAGGACCCCCGTGGCATGGCGACTACAAGCCCGTTTACCGTGATCGATGTCCACCGCTGCCGCCAATGCCGTCTACTTGATTGCGTGACCTTGCAACCTCTCAAGCGAAGAAACGGATACCAAGACCGTCCTGTGGAAATGTCGGGAGTGTGCTGTGCTCGCCCGGCACGCTGGCACATAACCAGGCATGGCAATGGTTTATCCCTTGCCCAACGAGAGTGCAAATTGCACTTTCGTCGTGTGCCACGACCCCCTCTCTTGGGCCCTGCTGCTCAGGCTGCCATTCACCCGCTCGCCACAATGTGTGGGTGGAGGGCTGCAGGAAAAAAATATTTCACAAACGTCCCGGCTACGTCCGCCTTGTACCGTTTGCACGCACGCTGCCTCGCCGATTAAGATTGGAAACAACACTTCGCTTGCCAATTGCCATCGTTACAAGGGGGCTGTAAAGGTTGAACGGGGTTTGTCTTTCAGTGTTAGTGTTTTGGGTGCTGCGTGTAAATACAGGTCTTACAGTGTTAGAAACCTTGATGGTGAGCTCAGATGTTTTTGATTCATCGCAGGTAGTCTCGCGTCAGCCAGCCTCGGCAAGCGATCGCATTACACCAGAAAAAACGTGTTGTGCCGTTGCCATTGCTTATGGGTTCCTTGCTAGCTTGCAGCTTTAACAGATGCTCGCGTGATCACGTGTACGATTACGTGACATTTTTCCCTGGTGTCGCTTGAAAATCTTCTAAAATGCGATATTCTCTGGATTCTAAGATGCTCTGGAGAGAAAGGTGCCACCCCAAACTTGTGCCCGGTGTCAATAAAGTTACACAAATGTGGTCACACAAAGACAAAGCTCTGCCGTATAGCCTTAACAGGCTGTTAAGGCAAATGCTACTAGCGAGCACCTACGATGGCCACCACGGCACATGAAGGAGTGGGTGGCCATCACCATGCCCGGCCACATTTGTCTGCCTAGTGGCGATGTTTACACATCAAACTAGGTACTCATGTGAAGCTGAGTCGACCTAGGGGAGGCCCAAAACCGATTTAGATCATCATTACCGGTGTTGATCATGAGCAGAACTTAGAGATGGAAAACACAGCTTCTCATTGCCGAGTTCTGCCATGCTGCGAAAACAAAGGGTGCATAATATAGGTTATTTGGGTTAGATTGCGTAAATATAAATGTGTTCCTGTTAAACCCGCCACCACCCGACACAGCCAGTTAGCAAGGTTTGACACGTAAACAGAACATGCCAATTCGTTACTAGTGGAGAGCAAATCCACAACATTTACAATCTGAGTACTCGGATGTGTTGCCGCTAAACCCGCCACCAGATTGTAGATGTTGTGGATTTTCTCTCCAACACACCGGTGTGCTGTACTAGTAACGAATTGGCATTTTTTTTCACGTGACAAACCTTACTAATTGGCTGTGTCGAGTGGTGGCGGGTTTAACGGCAAATTTATATATTTACGTGATCTAACCCAAAAGAAACTATTACGGATGATATTGGTCGCTAAAGCCTACGTGTTAAACCAACAATGTGTGGGTTGGGATGTTTTATTGTGAGATCGCGCGAGTTGAGCGGCGATGTCCTCGAGCGTCTAAGCGACGCGTTACTGCGCGTCAGCGTCCGGGTCCAAATGCAGAACTGTACGCCATATTTGAAAATTATCTGCGGTCACAAGAATTATACTTTGCATTGGTTACTTAAGCATCGGAGATTCTGTTGAGATTGATTCGATTGTTGTAAAGGGGACTTTTGAGACGGCATGTCTTGACTAAACTAATTTTATTAAATCAGGTAAGGCCCACTGAGCTATATAGCTGTTTTTCAGGAGAGGCCTGGACACAAATGATAACTCAACAAAGTGGCATATCATGTGGACATTTCATAATAATTGAAATGTATAACGCGCCTTTAATTGTTCTCAGGGGGCTAACGCCCTGAGAACGATTGCAGCCAAATACTAAAAGTGAACATGCAAACAAATATTAAGACGATTGAATAATATACATTTTCAACAAAAACAATTAACCTTTTCAGGGAGCCCACCAAAAGATCTGCTGCATGTTGGAATGCCTGGCGAGGCAATCGTTCCTGTGGCACCGCAGGGACACCGTGATGCTGTGGCGGATGGATGGTGATCTCGTGGCGCGTGGCCGTTGTGAATCGTTCACGCAGAGATTTGATTTTGTTCATCGAAAAGTGTCCATAATCTGCCAATTGCGTGAACCTGAAATGTAGTAAACCGAACGTTCGTAAATCGAGCGATACCTGTAATTGAATATCTCGGAACGGTTGCCGAATATTTCGTTTTCTAATGAGGGTTACCGATGGCCCATTATCGTGTGCTCACACTTGCACAAGTGTGTTGGCATTCCGCCGATCCATCCAGCAGTGAATAGAAGCTGCGTCTGTCTTCGGTGGCCAGTGAAGCGGCATCGTCATTGACTGAACCTGCCCAATCACAGCTCAATGAAAAAAAAACTACTGTATTATTTAATGTCTTCCTGTTTAATACATATTGCCAGAATTTGCAATTGTCAAATGTATATACAATGCGGTCTTACATGCTTGTGATTAGTTGTATTTATATTTTTTATATAATTTCAAGAAAAAAATATCGATATGTTCTGCTACACACTGTTACATGTTTTTAGTTTTATCATTTATAGTACAATTTAGTTGGTGCTGTTAAGGTACAGACCAGTGGCAATTGTATTTGGGGCTTGAGTACAGAATTACACAATTAAAAAAAATATATCGGAAGTTAGGACTTGTTACGCCAGTTCCATCAGGGTGTTAAGACATTGAATTGTCAAAGTAATACAATAAAACACTAAATAATAGCATGACATAATTAATAACAAAATGTAATTGATTACATTTAAGAACGAATATCAACATAATATGCTTACATAGGCCATAGACGAGCTGAAGCTCACAGAACGATGTCATTCCGGCCATGTTGCATGGGTGAATTCATGGTGGCCATATTGCATGGGGGTTTTTGCCTGGCCGATGATTGGCTGGTGCAGCGAGAATGATGGCAATCCCGAGAAATTGCCGCCACGCCCCCATAGCTTTGCGATCTCACTCGGACCTGCATATTTCCTTTGGATTTGTGTCAGCTTCCTTTACGAGCAGTTTGGATATTACTACAGTCGCAGCCTGCCAGATCGCGCACATGTGATTAGGGAATGACCTAGGAAGAGATCACGAGACTCTTCCTCATTTGGCGTCAGTAGGTGCAGCATTCTGTAGTTCTTGGCCGGTTACTATGGCAGAGCTGGGACAATGAAGTGAAAGCAGAAATATATACACCAAGAACGTGTTGTTTCTCAGTTGACATTTTACTCAGGGAAGCGTCACCGATTCTTCAGGATGTGCACTATTCGTTCTTTCCGTCCGTCTCAGCGTCCAAAGCGATGGATGAGGTGGAGGCACCATAACGCTCCTAAACTGATCCAATTTGAACTAAACTTTCGTATAAAATAATTCTAGATTTGAAGCTTTCGTGACTGCAAGAATTCATATTCTTAGGTTTTTCGGTAAAGTCATGTAGGTAAAAAAATTAAATTAATAAAAGTAAAATAAAACAAAATAAAAAATCACGACGTTTCGGAAGCAACACAAGCCTCCGTCTTCAGGTGGAACCGTCACAGCCACGACAGCTGTATCAATGAGAGATAAAATGTTGCGTTGCTATTAGGCAATTGCCCTATTGAAACCGATTAAATTGATCAAATGCTTTCCCAAAAACTTAGAGACAAAGCAGAGCAAAAAGCGCTATCCTACGGTGTCCATACTTCGAATTAAAATTTAAGTACTTCCAAAAACAAACGCATGTTTGAGAGCGTTACGTAACCCATGCGTTTGAATGGTTTTTCAACATTTCTTGCAGAATCAGAAATATACTATAGGAGGAATCCGATGAGCTTATAAAGCCTCTCTTTCACAGATGCCAGTGGGGGCGGGTCACAACGTTACAACAAACTACAAAAAAACACGATAGAAGTTCAAGGTCTAGGAAAGGTAAGACATTTCCCGAAAGCATTGTTTTTATTTACCAGCTAAAGCCCACTGAGCTGTTAGCTTCTGGGGGTGGCTTATGTGAAAATTTCTAGCAGCCTTCCAGCTTGGCACTCTTGACTGGTTCCCTTTTGAAACTTCGTTTTGGACGGTGTGAACCGTGAACCCGCGTGCACGGCGAGAATTATCCGATGGAATTCGCGGGGTCACTCCTCTACCGGACGTGAGATTGATTACGCAAGGAGATTATGGGAAATGAAACGCCTTCGAGTGTCACACGTGACACCCGGAGCACAATCGGACCGTATTTGCTTTCGCGTTTAAAACCTGTGTCGAACTTATTTTGCACCGTTTGTATCCAACCGTGCTAATAGTTGGTGCAAAATATAATTGCCACCTCCTCAACACGTACTTGATGCCATAACAGATACATTATTAATCCTGCCTAGGGAGCAATGCACGCTTTCTAAGTGCGCGTGCAAGGATTCGTGTGTTTCGTCCATTAAGTAGGCCTGCAAGGTGTAATGTGGGCCTACAATATCAGGTTAACTCTTGTACTGGTTAGAACCTCCTGGTTACACCAGCCCACAGGGGATTAATGTGTCCGTCGTGCATTCAAAAATGGGAGGGGTGGGGCTGGGTGGAGAGGGGGTGGATGGGGAGGGGCTGGGTGGGGCTGGGTGGGGACGGGCTGGTCACCCCGTGGTGCCCTTATAAAACTCAACGTTGAATCTACTCACGCCGGCTTCTGCCCGCCCTCACAGTCGGGCATATTTGCGGAATACACCACGCCGTCGTTGACCCTGGCCATTGACCGAGCAATCCAACGTTCCTACCAGCTCCCTCCGCAGGAATGTGTTTAAGGGGCTGGCAAAAAAAAAATCTGTACCACCTTAAGTCACTCGTAAATGTTGTTTCTACAGGATGGACACAAATCACCTCCCCACACCCAATCAGTGTTGACCAGAGTCTATCTTGATTTGAAGCTTTCGTGACTGCAGGAATCCATTACTCTTTGGTTCTTTTGGTAAAATCACGTGAGCTATTATTTTTCCACCTCCGTGACTTTACCGAAATAACCAAAGAGGTACAGAGTCCTTCTGTTACCGTTACTTGGACCAACAAAAACCATCGCACCTCCCTCGAACGAAGCGACCGCGCGAATCTGAAGCCCTCTCACTGTATTTGCATGTTAGCCAATGTTCGCGGCAATGCGTGCAGTGTGCCGTTTCGACAAAACCGCGGTGTTAAGTGAAATCTCATTCAAATTGCCAATGAAAATGTTTGGAGAAATTCAACCAAGAAACGAATTTAAGTGATTTACTTTGCTTACACGTGATTGGTTTGTTTATGTTTTGAATCGATTCGGATATAATTTCTTTTTAAAGGATCGGAGATGTGGGGGGTTGGCGGTTCGGGGGCTGCCCCCCCCCCCCAGCCACCGGCACCTCCCCATCGCCCTGCGCTCAAAATACACTTTTTTATTTTTGGAGGCGGTTAGTATATTTTTTATTAATTTAGCGTGTGTATAGCCATTTGCAAGGCTTTACTTGAGACGTTATCCAAATTCCCAATGTCCGTGACCTCTGGTCGTGCCAATGTCGTAGCCTTAGTTGTTGATTACGCGTCGCGAGTCACAAGCTGCTGCTGCTGCTGTGTTTCTCTACTCGTTGGGGGGTGGTTGGATTCTAGATTTGAAGCTTTCGTGACTGCAAGGATTCATACTCTTAGGTTTGTTTTGTTTTCGGTAAAGTCACGTAGGTAAAAATACAAATTCATGATAAAAATAGAAATAATAATAGAAATAAAATAATAAATCACGACGTTTCGGAGGCAACACAAGCTTCCTTCATCAGGTGTAAAAAGGCACAGCAAAATAACTGTAGAGTTATTTTGCTGTGCAACTCTACAGTTATTTTGCTGTGCCTTTTTAAATCCTTTATATAAGTTAGCTGCTGCTACGACGTGCAAATCTTTCGGCGTTTTTAACCACTTTACCGTGATCCAACTTGTGTTGCCTCCGAAACGTCGTGATTTATTATTTTAGTTCTATTATTTTTATTATTTATTTGTTATTTTTACTTACGTGACTTTACCGAAAAAAAACCTATGGGTGGTTGGATTGTCAATAGTGGCTGCTTTAGTTTGCACTTGTTGACCTGGAAAGTTCCTTGAATGTTGCGTTAACACGTTCGGTGACGATCATCTTTTGACCTTCCTTTCCATGAAGAAGGGCAACATTGGGGTGGATTGCATCTCCGTACGAACAGTTCAACACTGCCTAAACGCCAGTGCAATACAAACTCATTATTGAGATGAGGCATTAGTGTTCAGACTTTGAAAACCGATTTATTGAACTACTTTTTGTTTTAAGTTTGTTGTCCTTACCCCCGCACCTCCAATCAGCACGGTTGGCTACGTACGGTGCGAAGGAAGTTCAACATACATTCAGAAGTATAACTTAACCATATCTGTGTATGTCTGCTGTAAATTGTCTGGCAAGGTTGCATATTATTAATTCAACGAATCCAGTGTATGACAAGTGTTACCTTTAGGCTAATGAAACGCATATTACAAAATATACAAGACAAGACAAATAAGAGTTTGAAACGGACAAATAAATAATCTAATCACAATCCCAGTGATTGATTTGTTCACAGCCCTAGTGAGTGAGCCACCGGTATGTCGTGACCGTCCATTCGGTCGCCGCAACGGCCGTCTGGAACGCTCTTCCGAATCTCGGAAACCAGTGGAGCCATCCACTTTCAAATCATCGAGATTGAAAAACCATTGGAGGAGGTTGGTAGTTAAGGGAATGTCGTTGAGTTAAGGGCGGCATGCAGGCCCAGAGTGAACTACTGTGTGCGTGACGGAACAGGGGAGCGGTGTAGTCGTTGCGTGAGATAGATCACTCAAGCACGTCCAGCAAAGGCCCTGTGACGAAGGAGGTTCTGGAATTGAAACGTCCTACGCCCCTGGCTCGTCAAGATTACGATTGGAAATAATTGTTGAAACAAATGGCAAACATTTCAAGTTGTATGATAAGGAAACCTCTTAAGCAATTGATTATATGGCTTTGAACAAGCCCAATGAATAGGTAATTACAATCGGCGTATCTACTGCAGACTGGTACCAACAAGCACTGGCCCTGCAAGTGGTTGAACAAATCAAGTCAGAACCCCAATAATCCTAATAATACATCTCATCAGAGTCGAGCATCTCAATTGGGATTATGCACCTCGGGTGAGCATGGTTGGTTCCGTATGGTGCGAAATAAATTCAACATACACTATAGCAATCATTGCGCCCGACTGAGAAGACTTGGCAGGACCCTTCTGAGAAAGAGTCATGAGACTCGGCAATGCTTTCCTGGATAAACGAGCATAGTAGTCATAAAACAACAATTACATTATTGAACGACCGTTTACATCCCATCCTAGTGGGGAATGTGGCATATGGGACCATCCATTTAGTGCGGACTTTTTACACCCCCCCCCCACCTGCGTACGTACGCCTGACGCACCTCCCCCTCCCATCCTATAGAACGGCCGATATTTAATCCACGCAGAAACGATCAAGGATTAATGATATTAACGTGTTTAAGCAAACAGATAGTCCACGGCCGGCTGCATTAAATAATTCAGTTGCGTACCTTGGCCACTAATTTTGCTCAGCTGCGTGATAGCTGCAGTCAGGGGCACGGTGGCACACGAAGTGACCCCTCCCACAGTCCCACTTCTCCCGGCAGGACTTGTAGTTGCCTGACAGCTGAATAAGCTGAACTGTGGCTCATTTGAAGGCCAATGTCGACAAATTATTATCGAGGCGTCACCCCCCCCCCCGTTTCCTATGCGTACGCACATTGTTAGTAGACCCCCCATACGCAAGCGTACGCATTTGGGTTAACCACCTTGCATGCGTACGTACTAAATGGATGGCCCCTATCTCGGCATTTCGATTGATGTACCACGTGTGTATATTGATTATTTATCAAATTACTTAAAGCTAAGTGAATTCCATAATATAGGTTTTACGTTTGATCACGTAAATATATAAATGTGTCGTTAAACCTGCCACCACCTGACACAGCCAACTAGTAAGGGTTGTCACGTAAACAGAACGTGGCCAATTCGTCACTAATACAGCATTAGTGTGTAGTGTAGTATACTAGTACAGCACTAGTGTAGTGTATAGTGTAGTATACTAGTACAGCACTCATGTATAGCGTAGTGTATAGTGTAGTATACTAGTACAGCACTAGTGTGTAGTGTAGTATACTAGTACAGCACTAGTGTGTAGTGTAGTGTATAGTGTAGTAATACTAGTACAGCACTAGTGTATAGTGTAGTGTATAGTGTAGTATACTAGTACAGCACTAGTGTATAGTGTAGTGTAGAGTAGTATAGTGTATAGTGTAGTATACTAGTACAGCACTAGCCGGTGTGTTGGAGAGCCAAGCCACAACATTTACAAACTGAGTACGACGTTTCGCCAGTAATTACAACCAGCTTCATCAGGCGACAGCCAGATTTGTTGGTTGTGCCTTACAAGTTGGCTGTGTCGGGTGGTGTCGGGTTTTAACGACACATATTTACGCGATCTAATCCAAAAACTTCTCTTATGGATGATATTGTGCCGTCAAAGCCTACCTGTTAAACTAAGTTAATTCCATTGTTTCCAAGTTCAAGAGCTTATGATCCCAATTATCTCGAATACTTTTTCTCTGGGACCTAATTGAAATACCTTTTGAATGTAACTTCTGAATCTTCTCAGCGGACCTCTGAATGTGGTGATGTTATTCCGCACACGTGAAGTGCGCTTTGTGGGAATGTGATGTCGTGTTGCGTTTTCGTTTCTGCTTTTAAATGTTTTGTGCAGGGACCACCCATGGATCCACGTTATAACCCAGGCGTGCATGGAAGTATTGCCTGTGTTGATTTCACAAGTGCATTTTATGATAAAAAAAATATATATGAACCCGTCTCTCATCGACTGATAATTTTGTTCTCTCTCACGGTACGGTATTGCCTTCGGAAATGTTTCTTTCGTACACGTACAGCCCTTTTATCGGTCCGCGAGTGAGATTCTCCCTATGTAAGTTGTGCAAACGTTGGGGTCGTTAAAAAAAGGTTCAAGTTGTATTTTGTGGAGCCAGGTGAGGACTCCAGGATGAGTTGTTTGCAAGAGCGTCCTTGGTTGCCAACATGAAAAGAGCAAAATTACAAATACTGACACGTGAAGTACACAAATGAAACGCATGGAAATCAGTACAAAAACAACCATCACGTGAGAAATCGAAAATATCGTGCACTAACATCAGGAGAATACGCTTTTGCTATCGAGAGTCGTCTTGCGGAAATTATTTGTGGTGACACTGCTGCGTTGGCATTGGTGTAACAAGCACGGTTGGCAAAAATAAACCCTCGGCTCATTCGTCAATAACACTCCCCTCATCAGAAAAAAAACAAAAGAGGCGACGTTTTGGGCAATGGTCCTTCTGCATAGCACACACATATCGAGGATAGAGTGACTTTACCGAAAGAACCAAAGAGTATGGATTGCTGCAGTCACGAAAGCTTCAAATCAAGCTTGGATAATTCGAGTTGGCGACAACAATTATATACACCGTGGGATCTAATGAGAATTAAAGTTTTCTGTCCAGTTTTTTAATTGACACGAATAGTTTTACTAATAGCAACTATTGAGCAACAGACAAATTTAGATTTGAAGCTTTCGTGACTGCAAGGATTCATACTCTTAGGTTTTTTCGGTAAAGTCACGTAGGTAATAAGAAATAATAAAAATAAAGAATAAAAATAATAGCAATAATAATATTATTGTCATTCAGACTGTCTTCTCGACAGACCTGTTCTTCACCTGAGGACGGCTGCTTGCGTTGTGGCCGAAACGTCGTGAGAATTATTTTATGATGTTTTATTTTTATTATTTTATTATTTCCATTCTACGTGACTTTACCGAAAGAACCAAGATGAATCCCTGCAGTCACGAAAGCTTTAAATCGAAATTATTGCTATTATTTTGTGACTTTACCGAAAAAACCTAAGAGTAACAGACAAATCCTTCAATACTCGCAAGGTATTTACTCGTAAATACATTTACATTAAAGAATATATTTTTTTATGTTGCTGGTAAATTGCATTTCGGAAGATTGGTTCTTGTGAGTGCAAGGCGCAGTGATTGCCTTTTAACGTTGATTCTGCACAGTCGGCTTAAAACACGTATTATGAAAGACAAAGTGTCCTTTAGCATTATAAGACGCACACCCAAACGTTTGCTTTTAAAATGCAGGTACAAAACAATGCGCATGAAAATCGGGTTACTGCCACAACACTCATGGCCACCGTTCCTATGATCACTGTTACATTGTTCTTAAATCCTTTATATTAAGTTCACTTGCTTGCGCGCTTACGACCGTGCAAATCTTTCGGTCGTTTTTTAACCCACTTCCCGTGATCCAATCGAGCTGACATTTTGCACACAGACTCGTTGTGCGTGGCAATTTATTTTCGTGAAAAAAAATTTCCTAAATTTTCCACTTTTTAGAAGAAAAAAAAATTTCACTAACACAATCATATATTTGTCCTAAACACAGAAAATTATTCTGGATGTGTGTCAACACACTATAAAAATTAACCCGTAAAAACAAAGTTTTTCACTCTACATCCTTTATATGCGTAGCGGCTAGAGTCATCTCGTCCTCTGGCTTGAGATGGCTGCCACCTATGGGTCAGATGATTGTCTGCCAACATTAAGCAATTGGTAATTAAATATTTTTTTCCCTAAACAGTGTAAAATTTTGGAAAAAAAAATTCACGAAAATTAATTGTCACGCACAACGAGTCTGTGGAAAATGTCAGCTCGATTGGATCACGGGAAGTGGGTTAAAAAACGACTGAAAGATTTGCACGGTCGCAAGCAAGCAAGCGAACTTAATATAAAGGATTTAAAAACGAGCGAAAGATTTGCACGGTCCTAAGCAAGCAAGTGAACTTCATATAAAGGATTTAAAAATATATTCGCCTGTGGAGGACGCGGGGATCGATCCCGCGACCTTTGGCATGGGAAGCGAGGGCGCTACCAACTGCGCTACTCCGCCACGGCCTGTGGAGGGGTTACGCTCTGGGCTCTTACACTCTGACGTTCAGCCAAAGCCATGAATGAATAAATGAATAAATGTAAAATAATTTTTTTTTGCCTAAAAAGTGTCAAATTTTTTAATTTTTTTCACGAACATTAATTGTCTGTCACAACGAGTCTGTGTGGAAAATGTCAGCTCGATTGGATCACGGGAAGTGGGTTAAAAAACGACCGAAAGATTTGCACGGTCGTAAGCAAGCAAGCAAGCACGCAAGCGAACTTAATATAAAGGATTTAAAAATGAAACTCTTACTCAAGAAAAACAGAAATGAATAAAAAAATAAAACCGATGCTACGCATATAAAGGATTTATAGTGAAAAACTTTGTTTTTACGGGTTAATTTTTATAGCTTTATTTTGGTGATTTCGAAAACGTTTTGGTTTAGACATATTTGTTTGTTGTAGTACAGAGTTAGACTGATAATTTTTTTTAATCTAAATTGTCTTATGGTTGTTATTGTTTGACTTGCATTCCACTTTGCTGTTTTTTTCTGGATTTTTCTGTTGCGCGTAATCACTTTAAGATGTTTTTTGTTCATGTGTTTGTTTGTTGCGGTTGCACCCGATTCAAGAGCCGAATGGCTCACAGGGCTACACCTAATAAATGAACTGAACTGAAATGATCTGAAATCATAAAATGGAAAAGTCCATCCAAATCCTGTCACTCTCTTAGGTTTTTTCGGTAAAGTCACGTAGGAAAAAAATAAAGAAATAATAAAAAATATTAAAAAAAAAATTTATTTTAATTTTTTTTTATTTCTTTATTTTTACCTACGTGACTTTACCGAAAAAAACCTAAGAGTATGAATCCTTGCAGTCACGAAAGCTTCAAATCTAGAAATCCTAGTCACTTCCACCCCTCAGCAAAACCATGGAATGGGAACGTCCACCCACCCACCCTGCCCAGCCCCCCCCCCAGCGAGGGTAGCCCCGCCCCTTCACCTCGTGGTTACCATGGTGACGGGGGGGCTTGGGCCATGGGCGTTTGGGCCGCGGCCATTTTAGTAGAGGAAGCGTTGTCCGGGGTCTGTGTGTGGGGGGGGGAGATTATTTGGCTGTTTAAATTTGCGCACGATAAGCCAAATTAGTTGAGCTGTTATTTTTGTCCAGGTCTCTTCTGAAAAATAAGTTACTATCTCGATGGGCTTTACCCTCGTAACATAAAGTTCACATTTAGTAATTTTGCTTAGCTTTCCTGCACTTTCACACTCCTTTCGAGTTTTTGTATCGTTCGTTGTAACTTTCTCACCCGCCCCGTACTGGACATCCGTGAAAAAAGATCTTCATAGCTCATCGGATTCCTCCTGCAAGTCTAAATAACAAAAACAAAACCTTGATTCTAACGGCGTACCAACTTCGCTTCCCTACGTAAGATGGCGGCGAGGAGTCTCGCGCGTGACGTCACCGCCCACCCGTGCAGCGCATTCCTCGCGGGCAAGAGGCGCGGTGGAGGCAGCGGCGGCACCTCCCTCATCCTCACCCTCCTCCTCCTCCCTCCCTCCTCCTCCCTCCTGTGCTGCTGCTGCTACGCTCATTCTCGCCGCCTTCAGCGCCACCAGCGCACGGACGACACAGCCGACACAGCCCCGCCAGCAGCAGCAGCAGCGCGTGTGTGTGTGCGCCTACCCCTCTCAGGTAATGAAGGCCGCCGCGCCGACGTCTCTCGCTGGCCTTGCGCGGCCCGGCGGGGCAGTCCGAGGTGCCAGGCTTGGAGGCTTGAGGCCGGGAGAAGCGACGCTTCATGCATTCGCTCGTTCGTTTGTTTGTTCGCGACTCGTTCACGATTCGTCGCTAGCCAGCCAACTCGCTCGCAACACATTGTGGACTTCTGTGACAAAGCGCTTCTTAGCTCATCGGATTCTTCCCCGGTAAATACGGGTTCTGATTCACTCACCATTCACTCGCCTCCCTCCGCTATTTCAATCCTCGCTCACGACTCCTCACCGCTCACTACTCACCACAAATTCACCCCTCACCGCTGATTCAGCAGTGACTCCCAACTACTCACCATAGCCCCTCACCCACCCCACCTCTAATTCTTCACAAGCTCATCACCAACCATAGTCCACTTCTCTCGTCCCTCACCACGAATCCCTCACTCACTCCAGGCCCTCCCTGCCTACCCCCATGCCACCGGTCCCTCGCTAACGCCCTCCTCCCCCCTCAGCCCACCACCACCATAATCACCTGGGGGTCTGGCTTCCCTCCACCCTCTGGCGTGTGTGCACGCCTCTTCACTCTCATCACCCTCTCACATTCTCCCCCTCTTATCTCTCCCCTTCTCCCCCCGTGCCTGTCCTCCTGTGCCGTTCCCCGTTTCTCCAGGACCCACGCTCCCTGCCATCCCCTCACCTCCCATCCCCTCACCTCCCATCCCCTCACCTCCCTCCCCTCACCTCCCCATCCCCTCACCTCCCCATCCCCTCACCTCCCCATCCCCTCACCTCCCCATCCCCTCACCTCCCATCCCCTCACCTCCCATCCCCTCACCTCCCTCCCCTCACCTCCCTCCCCTCACCTCCCCATCCCCTCACCTCCCCATCCCCTCCCCATCCCCTCACCTCCCCATCCCCTCACCTCCCCATCCCCTCACCTCCCCATCCCCTCACCTCCCATCCCCTCACCTCCCCATCCCCTCACCTCCCCATCCCCTCACCTCCCCATCCCCTCACCTCCCATCCCCTCACCTCCCATCCCCTCACCTCCCATCCCCTCACCTCCCATCCCCTCACCTCCCATCCCCTCACCTCCCTCCCCTCACCTCCCCATCCCCTCACCTCCCCATCCCCTCCCCATCCCCTCACCTCCCCATCCCCTCACCTCCCCATCCCCTCACCTCCCCATCCCCTCACCTCCCCATCCCCTCACCTCCCCATCCCCTCACCTCCCATCCCCTCACCTCCCCATCCCCTCACCTCCCCATCCCCTCACCTCCCCATCCCCTCACCTCCCCATCCCCTCACCTCCCCATCCCCTCACCTCCCATCCCCTCACCTCCCATCCCCTCACCTCCCATCCCCTCACCTCCCATCCCCTCACCTCCCATCCCCTCACCTCCCATCCCCTCACCTCCCATCCCCTCACCTCCCATCCCCTCACCTCCCATCCCCTCACCTCCCATCCCCTCACCTCCCATCCCCTCACCTCCCATCCCCTCTCTCTCTCCTCCTCGCTGCTGCTGCTCGGCACCTCCCGCTGTGCGCTCCGCCCTGATCCGTGCTACGCGTGACGCCTCATCCTCATCACACGCTCAGAAAAGCCTCATCTCATCCTCATCACATCCTCCTCACACCCTCATCACATCCTCAGCAGAGCCTCATCACATCCTCATCACATCCTCCTCACACCCTCATCACATCCTCAGCAGAGCCTCATCACATCCTCATCACATCCTCATCTCATCTCCATCACATCCTCAGCAGAGCCTCATCTCATCCTCATCACATCCTCATCTCATCTCCATCACATCCTCATCACATCCTCAGCAGAGCCTCATTACATCCTCAGCAGAGCCTCATCTCATCCTCATCACATCCTCATCACATCCTCATCACATCCTCATCCTCATCACATTCTCATGACATCCTCATCCTCATCACATCCTCATCACATCCTCCTCACATCCTCGCATCCTCATCACATCCTCGTCAGAGCCTCATCACATCCTCATCGCACCCCCCCGGCACCTCCAATTAGCACGGTTGGCTACGTACGGTGCAAGAGAAGTTCAACATACTGTACACACATACTCATCATCCTCACAGCATTAATGATAAGGCCACGAGTTCAAATCTGGTCCAGGGTGGACTAAAACCGCATCTTCGTATGTCCGATGTTGATGTTTAGCAAACAAACTATAATTCTAATGAGCCAGATGAGTGTGGCAGGAGTAGCGAGCGGAGTGTTGAATCGCTGCGCTGATGACGCCTTCTCCCCCCAGTATCTGTGAACGTGGCGATGTTCGTGTGAGGTCGTTTCATCTTTCACGGTTTCTGTTCTGGCTGGTGATCACATTCGCCGCACAACTGGCCGCGAGTTATATTTTTTTTTAATGTTCAATTTGTGCATCATCATCCTCATCGTTAAGTGTCCGCTTCATCCGTTGCCATGGTTTGTGTGTTTTGGGTGATTGTGGGTCCCATCATAATCTTTCGCGAAAGATCGAATCCGGGGGCATATTCTGCGTTGGGTCTCTCGCGAGCTTGCGACTCCGCGTGTGTTTGAGTCGCTCAAATCAACTCGGACGTTTTGAGGTCGCATCGCCCGGGGGCTGTGGGATATCAATCAACACGGTTTTTAAATATTTAGTCGCCTGCTCAAAATAACTTGCTCTATCCCACCGAGGTCGCACGCCCGTGCCTCCAAAAGATGCAATGTTAATCCGCCTCAACGGCTATTTCCATCTTTTGGTCAAATAATGGATAACAATCGGCGATTGTTCCCCACACTGCATGAGGAACGTGTAATTTCAAACCAGCAGTGGCCGCGTGGGCCAATGTGGACACGAAGCTAATGCTGTTGTGAATTGATCCCAGTCCTCTGCACTGCGGATGAGTCAATGAGATTCATGTTTTTCAAACGGCTCTGAAATTCTGCGATCATTGTTATCGAGTTGTTGGTCTGTAGCCGAGGTAGGATTTCGGGTGAGGCGAGGTTTTCATTGTAATGACCTAAGCAGATGCCCGCCACTCGCGCGTGACTCACAGTGGCGCCTTGCTGCCGGTGCAGCGAATGGTGCTTTGGGCGTGGTGCAGAATACAGCCCTGCTGAGCAGCCCTCCGTGATAATAGACGTGGACCACCACCCCACAGGGCTGGGCGTAGTTGCTGTGTCCAGCAGGGAAGAAAGGGAGGGGTGGCAGCATCTCTCTACCAGGGGTTGGCAACTTAAATAGCAAGAAGTGACATTTTCTTCGAATTGGTTAAAAAAAAACTTAATATTTCGAGGGCTGCAATGCGTGTGAATACGATACGTGAACTTAATGAATAATGTCGAAGCATATTTTTTGTAAGCACTATTTTAAGAACAGCACAGTCATTTGTAATGCCACATTACAAATCATTGTTGGGCTTGTGAGACGTTCACCGTTTATCGAAAATAATTAGGAGGGGTTTTTTTTACTTGGAAATTATAGTTTTGGGAGCCACGCAGCAGTGATTTGAAGAGCCGTATGCGGCTCCAGAGCCACAGGTTTGCTGACCCCTGATCTCTTCTGAACACACCTTACAGCTGTTAGCCCAGTGGTCCGTGTAGAGCCGGTATCCATGAGGTTGTCGATGGTTGTCGTCTCTGCATAATTATGTAATTTCATCTTGGCTGTGTGCTACCGCTGTGGGAAGTTTCAAGTTATTTTTGTTTAACCAGATGAGAACTCAAGAGACGAATATGAGTCTCATTTGAAAGAGCGACCTGGGTCACTTGCAGAATGATTGACATGATATACCAGTAGTCATGGAGAGACTGGGAATGTGGAATTTCCACCACTGACTCAAGGCCACCAACGTCGCATCCCAGCGAAACGTCGTACTCAAATTGTAAATGTTGTGGGTTGACTCTTCAACACACCGGTGTGCTACAGTAGTAACTAATTAGCACGTTTTGTTCATTTGACAAATCTTGACTTAAAGCTTTCGTGACTGCAGGAATTCATATTCTTGAGTCTTTCGGTGTGGTCTGAATGGATATACAGACCACACAATCTGTAAAGCTATCACCCCAACCGTTGGGAAGGAACCATCTGAGGACCCGATCAAAACCATCACCTTGCCATACATCGTAGGGGTCACCAAGAATATTTCCAAAACCATTAACACACCCAAGATCCAGGTTCGATTTAACACAGTACATACAATTCGTGATCTTGTTCCATCTGTGAAGGATGTGATCCCTGACATGCAATACCCCGGCGTCTACAAACTAAGCTGTGTCTGTGGCAGTAGTTACATTGGGGAAACTAAGCAACATGTCTCGGACTGAGACATTTAACCTGTTAATGTTAAGAAGATGTCTCGGACTGTGTTCGTGAACATAAGGCAGATCTGAAACACGGTAGAACCAATACCTTGGGCATGGCTGATCATTATTTTAATGCGGTGGGCTCACACGAAATGTATTTCTCTAAGACAAAGGTACTTTGCAAGCCCACTGGCTATCAACAAAGATTCGTTCATGAAGCCATCCATATATATCGGCACAGACACAATTTCAACCGAGAGGATGGGTACAAACTGAGCAATCATTGGAACGACATTATTAACCAGTTTAAGTCATAACTAGCTGTGATGTTTCCATCCCACCTTCCGATGTTAGTAGTTATTTTCGACTGTTTGGTTTTACATTAACAGGTTAAATGTCTTTACATTAATCGGTTAAATGTCTCGCTAATACAGCCACCGTTGCTCGTTTTCCTCGATTTGGCAGTGGCAGAGGTCGCAAACGGGTTTTGATTCCTTACCCGTACCCGGCCGCACCAGGGTCGCAAATGGGTACCCGTACCCGGGCGGGTACCCGTTCCCTACCCGTACCCTACCCGAAATGAGTGACAAACGGTTACTCACCAGTGACTCACGTACCCGTACCCGGCCGCACCAGGGTCGCAAACGGGTAGCCGGGTATCGGGTAGGGTACGGGTATCA